AATATATTGGCTTCTTCAGTTTTATTCTAAATATTACTGTTTGGAAATTCCCGTTGGATTCACATCTACCCATCAAGATGTAGTTACAAGCACATATGTTACAGATCATATCTGAGTTTTGCTGTTGTTACTTCGTATTCAGTCAAGGAAAGATATAAACCCGAACCAAAAGTATAACAGTGAGCTTCACAATAAAATAAACACGAACAAATTTCACATTCTTCGTATTCAGTCCAGTCGTGACGTATGATTGTTATTTTGCAAACCTCAAACACTGAGAGTGGTAACTTGTGTCGCTGCTGCAATTATACAGTTATGCCTAGTCAACCTCGTCTCCTATTTGGGAGGAGCATTTTGTGATATTGGAGTAAACGCACTTCGTGATTTAAATGAATTGATTTCCTGCGATGCCATGTTGTTTCATAGCATGTCACGTGGTTTAAGTTTCTACTTCGTCATAAACTATGGGGAAATCAAGAAAAATATGAAAGAAATGCCCCTGTTACCCGTTGTTTGTCAAACAGTCACACACACAAATGTCAATTACTGCTGGGGGGGGGGGGGGCGGGGGATCTTTGAGCCTGAGGATTTACGGCCGCATGGCTAGTGCTGTCGCCACGACTGTGCAGGTGAGGGTTTTATTCGTTGTTCGTCACATGGCATTGAATGAACATAAAAGTAAAGGACCTTTTCTGTGACAAACCTATATTTTACAGTCAAGTCCGCACTCGTAAAAAATCTGGTCAACATCACGCTGGCTACGTTTACTTCCAAGGACTTTACTTGTTAACCATTTTAGCCTGAGTCGACTAGGGAGCTAAAGTCATTTTTTAAAAAAGGGGGGTGGGGAATCCGGCTCAATTCGGCTTTGTACACACGGTGAGGTGTGCATCTAGCCGTTACACCACTGCAGCTCCCTTCAAATAATGTTAAAGCCCCCCCCCCCCCCCATCCACACACACATAAGTTTCTGCGCAGACCTGCAAACACTTGGTGTCATCAAATTGAAAGAGTAGGCAAGCCAGAGAGATGAGTGGAGGCGGATGAATGCTGAAAAAAGAACATGCCTTTTTTCTTTTGAGGGGTGGGGAGGGGGCAGGGTATGTGAAAGAGCAGGTGGTAAAAGACAAAATTCCGTGGCTGTCTAGAATTGTTGGTCCTAACTAGTGTAACTAGGATTATCTGATTATCTACAATATCTTATATTTAAATTTCATTGGAAAGGATTCATATTTTGTACTTCATCATATGTTGATGTAACTCTGACGAGATAGAGTGACAAATGACAGGCGATTAACTGAACAAGTACTGATTTTAGCCGCATTATTTAAATTCTCTACGACAAACCATTACTTTGAATGGAATGATTACCTTTCGTCGTTATTATAAATTTCGTCACAGCCTGGAATAATTTCTTGTGTTTTAGGTTTCATATTGTTTGATACATTTAAAGGATTGTTGCGTATCTCTTACAGTTCCAGGACGTGGTAGGCCAAGCCCAACAATTGTTAGCCATTGAGGTTATACTAGGCAACTTTACGTTTCGTAGTTTGCCATTACTCACGACAATATTGTCGAAATCAACGTAAAGCAGTCTGCTGCCAAATCTCCTGCAGCTGAATTGAACAGGGTATTTAGGAATTACAAGCAGCATTCGCAACCCGTAAATCAAACTCTTGATGAAGACTTCTATCGAGACGTAAGTTGTGCATCTGTCATCATCAAGCGCCTTGCAATCTGGCGTAGGGGTTCATGCGTCGCCACAGATCTCGGTCTTTGGTATTCTGGATCAATTCCACTGATGATATTCCTCCACGCCACTGTCTTAAGTTATCAACCATCGTTTCTCTTGGTCTGCCTCTTCTATCAGTGATCTTTTCAGTCGTCACGGTATTTTCCAGTGTTCCTTTTCTCATCACATGACCAAAGAACTGTGTTTGTCTCCTTCTCATTTTTGTATATGATGTTCTACTTTCATTTGTCATTTCCTAGCATTCAATGTTGGTTATTCTGGCAGTCCCAGGTATTCTTAACATTCTTCTCAAGAACAACATCTCGGTTGCTTCCAAACTCTTCTTAATGTGTTTGCTCACATTCCAAGATTCACAGGCTCGATATAACAGTATATTTCAGTACTCGTTTTCTGATGTTTAATGAGAGTGATTTATTACACCAAATACTTTTCATCTTCTGAAAAGCTTGGCCAGTTCTGCTTAATTTCTGTCACACATCGTCCACGTATGCCTTTACTTTTTTCGCTAGCTGGCTTTATATATTGAATACTGTTTTCATTTAGTTACTATTATGATACGAATACATAAGGTAAAAGATAAACCAGAAACTGGTGATAAACTGTGTAAACATGTTAAAAGCAAGATTTAAAAAAATATTCAAAACAAAAAAAACTAGTCTGTATTAGGGTTAGTTGCGTATCCTTTACAGGACGTTGCAGAACCAACCCCAGCAGCCCCTGACTGTTGTGTGGTTTTTCTAGGCAAATTTACGTCCAGTAGTTTGCCATTGCCTCTGGACGGTCGGCCTTCTGATACCACTGTCGAAACCAACGCAAGGTGCATGGCCTGCGGCTGGGATCGAACTCGGCACTACGAAGCGTTCGCATCGATTAAACCAGTGAGCCAACTAGTCTGTATATTTACTGTATATTAAAGAGTCAGAGAAGTAAACTCAGATCCATACTTTTTCATAAGCTGCATAATGTCATTTTGCAGTTAAACATTGGGAAATAATCAGCCTCTGTGTCTGAGTGCGTGCGCGCAAGCGTGTTTCTTTAATATTCCAAACAAAAAACATGAATAGATGAACTCAGCAGGAAACTGGGTTAGGTAGAAGATAAATGTCAAGATCACTTGGTTGAGTACCTTGGTACAGATCATTCTTCTTCTTCTTCGCATTCACCAGCTGTACACTCTGGTGGAAAGTTCTGGTTGCTCGTTCACTACTGAACTGCAGTCCTGCTCCAGAACCTGAGTGTTGCGTGTGCATCAGTTTTACAGATCTCATTCTCTTGAATACAGACTGTTGGTTCCTTGCCTCTCCGGCAGATGCACTCCGACTTCGAAGGAAGCTCCCCAATTAGTTGACTTTTACGACATGCTTTTGGGGAGGCAGTAGGTCTATTCTTGTTTTCCCCACAATGGGGCCCCGGAACCCACACGGGGGGGGGGGGGGGGATAGATAATTGAATGGTCACCTTGCCCCACGCAAGTGTCATTTTAACTTAGTGATTCCTAAGCTATGTGTCACTTTCTTCTTCCTCGTCTTTACTTTCTCTTTTACCGCTCTGTGTGTCTGCTTGTCTGGCGGCCTCAACTTTAAGACATATCGTGCTGTTGTAGTATAGTTTTTCTGATGTTATCTTTCCATATTGTTCTTGGTCTACCTCATGATGTGCCCCTTTCTTCTCTTTTCATGTATGCCTCAGGTGTAATTTAGAATTAGTTCTTTGCTGACTTTTTTGTCTCATGACCTCATTCCTTCTTCTTGTGTTGACTTTCTGATTTACATACCGACAGACAAGTACTTGTGATAAACTTGACTGTTTTTAGGAGTTCTGTTTTAGTTCCATACAACTTTGAATGCAGTGTTGACTCACTGGGCCAGTATTCTATTCTTAATGGGCTGAACAAGGGACATTCTTGAAGGACATGTTCAGTAGTCTGCACACACAGCCCACAAGGGAACAATAGTGAACTACTTAGACGAAGCCTGTGCATATGCTGGTTAAGTTTATTATGTCCTGTCCTAAGGCATAGAATAATGAGCTGCTCATGCCAGTCAAGTAAGTGGTAGTCATCTCTGGCCAGACTTTTCACTTCTGATAGACTGGATGATTCTTTTCTTCTGATAGTATGTTACTGCATTCTCTTCCTGGTCACATTTATGTGCTACAGACATGCTCTCTACAGGATGTAGGGAGATCCCAGCTTGGCTTGTTGGCATTCCAAAAGAAACCAAGCTGTATAGAACAGTGAAAGACATGCATTGCATCACAAACTTCATAGGGGCCTGGGGCTTCTTTATCTGAAAACCACTAGCTGGGAAAATGAAAAGAAGAAAGATATAGTAATTCTGTCATTACTATTAATCCTGTCTGTGATGCAGGCTTACATGCTGAGGCTTAAAAGGGTAGGCAAGCAGCCACCCATTTACCACCATGACCCTACTTTAAACCACTTACCTTCAGGGTGGAAGAGAAAACAGCTGAGTACAAAGGAGATACATTACACAATTTACAGAAATGATGTCTCTAATACATATACTGAGATCATGAAAATTGAGACTGCTATCCAGGTAAACAAATGCCTGAAAAATGAAATATTATAAGCTTTGCTATAAACAGTGTCTTCACAACCCCCCCCCCCCCCACTTTCTCTCCCCACATAAATCAGATGGACAAGATAATTATAAAGAAATGTAAAAGTAAAGGCTCTTCTCTGCACCTTCAGATGTTTAAGGCACATAGGGTTAGACTTTTTTTTATTAGACCAGCTGGCTCTGTGGTCAACATGACGCCAGCCAGCCTTTCTTAGGACCTTACGTGGTAGCCATTTAAAGCTGAGTTGTCCTGGGAACCAAGGTCATTTTTTTTAAAGTGGTTCAGTGGGAACCTGAACCCACGAGCTTTGGATCTGCAAGTGAGTGTCTAGCTGCTACACCATGAAAGACACACGTGCAGAAATTAAATCAAAAATTTTTAAAAATTATATAATTATTTCTTTATTCAGATTCTGCAAGTAGAATAACAGAAGCACAGACATCAAAAACATTATCTTCTCTCATTCGCATCCATCTGCAGCTACGAGTCAACATGCTACTCAAAATGCTCATATAGAGTATATGCATACATATTTGCTTTTAATCACTTCTAAATGGCTTCCAAAATCAATCACATTCGCAAATTCATAAACATAATTAACAAGACAAACTAGAAGCAGTTAAATGAACTCACATTAACAAACAAACATGAGAAACAAATCATTCTAAGAGTCATTTTTATCAAACAGTGTCAAGGCCATGTCTTTCACATGCTGCACCTGATCCTCAGTGCCGTGTGTCTCCTCAAACCGAACGTACTTCTGTACCAAGAAAGACAGTTTCTTTGGGTTGAGCTTTTGTTTCACAGCTCGCTCCATGATTTGCCTGTAATCAAGAAACAAGATTTAATTACTTTTTTTTTTTATTTCTTTATTATTTTTTAGAATAGAAAAAGCAGTACTTCATTTTATTTCAGAAACAAACATTTATTACCATATTCTTTTGAGAAAGAGATTATTTAACCATGTTGCCTGAAAATCCACGTGCTCCTCGCCTTTTCCCCAAATCCTTAAAAAACACTGTTTTACAATCAGTAATAAATTTCTTACAATTTGTTTCTGTACAATTTTTGTTTAAATTCAAAATATATAAAGATAATAAAGATAGCAATCAGTAAAGATGAACAGAGGACAGCATTAAATGAAGTAGATTCCTCATAGCCCAACAAAAATGTCTCCGGTGACTCAAGTTGTGACCTGGTGATCTTTATCACAGAGGCTATGGCAATGATTTGCCATCAACACAGATTTTAAAAAATCCATGTGTTTTACAAGAAACCCCCCCCCCCGCTATTTCTGGTAAATATAGTCATATCCTGGCCTCCTAAATGCGGCATAGGCTCACAAATAGCCAGTAGTGTTAACTATGTCTTGTAAAGACTCCTGTGTTTTCTCCCTGAATGACCACATTTGCATATTGTGTATCAAGCTGTATACAGGTTCTGTGCTTGGTCATGAGGAACCCAAGACTGGACATGACAGTCACACTAATTTCATCCAAAGATTATGATAAAGTCAATTCATAAATGATGCTATCAATGTCAGAGATGGTCCTTGTCAACATTCACCAAAAGGAGCTTTCTGTCATTCCTCCTTGTTTTCTTAGTTGTGTATTCTTTACAGGACGTTGCAGAACCAACCCCAGCATTTATTGGCTGTTGTGGTTTTTCTAGGCACATTTTACCTTCAGTAGTTTGCCACTGCTTTCTAACTGTCAGCTCTCGGTGCCGCTGTCAAAACCAGTGCAAGATAAATTGTCCACAGCAGGGATCGAACCCTGCACTACAATGCTCGCTCGCAAAGCCTAAGCCACAGACGCTGACACCTTACTACGTATCTTAGCCGATAAAAAGTTAGTTGTGTATCCTTTACAGAACACTGCAGAACCAACCCCACCATTTTTTGGCTGTTGTGGTTACTCTAAACAAATTTACGTCCAGTAGTCTGCCATTGCTTTCTGGATGGTCTGCCTCTTGATACCACTGTCGAAACCAACGCAAGGCGAAAGGCCTACAGCTAGGATTGAACCCGGCACCACAGCACTACAAAGCGCGTTCGCAATTCTCATTGTACCAGGAACAGTTTGATTTCATTCTTAAAAGAAATAAAATAAAGCTTGCAGGATACACCTCCTCCCCTCCCCTCAAGTTTTCAACGGTAAATGTTGAATGTTGAATGCTGAATTGAGAATGGACATCACAGCAGTCGGGACACTCATAAGTGCTCAGTCCCCATCTTCAGCAGCAAGCGAAGAGTTCCAGTTCCGATGGTACCAGTAACCATGTGATTGTATATCCATCTCATCCTTCCCCTGAGTGTTGAGCACTGACCAGATCTCCTGGAAACTCCTCGCTGAGTCATTCTTCTTAGACCGTAATGATCTATCTGCATCTCCACACTGTTTACTTGCTCCTAAAGGCCCTCACAATATCTAGCTTGTCATACATCAATTCACCACCAACAGTGAGAAAAACAATATTTACGCAGTAAATGAATTCATACATCAATTCACCACCAACAGTGAGAAAAACAATATTTACGTAGTAAATGAATTAGTGAATGAGGATACTAAGCAGGTCAAGGTTTCTTAATTTGTTGGCACTACTCAGAAACGCCAAAATAGCAATTTTTTTCTTCTTCTTACACAAAAAAATTACTTGGTTAATAAAAAACATATTCTTACCTGGCACCTTCAATATCGCCAACTTTGGCAACCATGTCTACATAAACTGACCACAAGTCTGTTCGACCTGGGTAGCTGGCTATGAGATTTTCAAACATGGTACGACCACGTTCCTTGTCTCCATCCGTAAACTCCAAGTTGGCAAACTTAGCAATAACTTCAACATCTGCAAAAGATCAAAACAGAAAGTTACAGAAAAATTAATAATTACTTGAAACATTAATTCAAACTGCAAAAGTAACAAGTGCAAAGCAATAACTGCAAATATGACAACTGCAGTTCAATTGCACTGTGATAACTTCAATGTGGGAAATAGTTTGAATAATTTAAAAAAATAATAATAAGTTAAAGCTGTTAGGTGCTGAAAGAGTAACAGATCATAAAATGCTTGTAAGGCTGAAAGAGTAACAGATCATAAGATGCTTGTGAGGGATTGTCACTAAAGCTACAGAGTTTGTGAAATACTCTCTATAGATCTTAGTAATCTTAGTTTTATAGCAAACAGGGACCACCCCATAGTTGCTCCGCTCCTGTGTCAAGGGAAAAAAACACAGAATGTCCACCACTGTCTCCTGTGGAAAAAACACAAACTGCAGTCTCGGCATATCCATTAGTATTAGCACACACACACACAATGAAAGCATAAGGTGGTCATCAGAAGTGCTAACACAAACAGTCTGACATTAGAAATGCATTTAATTTTCGACAGAAGTGGCAGTTACAAACATATCAGCAGTCACATATGCGATTAATTTTGATCACATAAGGCACCACCAATTCTGTAGCAACAGGCCACGCATCATTTTCCGAATATATAGTTCACAAAACCACATTTGTCAGTCAAAAAAACAATTCCAAATGAAATCTGCAGCTCACAGTATTATACCATGAACTCAACTCAGTGGTTGGGCGGCAAAACTATATCCTTTCAGTCTACGAATAAATAAAAAGGCAATGGCCACTGTCTGTCAGAAGCGAAAAATTGACCATGACTAAACACAGTGACTGCTCCTATTGTTCATTTTGACCCGAACACTCTCAACAAAACGCTAGTCATTCTCAATAGAGAGACCACGCCAAACGGGACAAAACCTGGTGCAAGAAGTTAATTCTTTTGACATTTAACCTTTCAGGATACAACTGTTCACCACCAAATAGAGCCCTATTTTGAATTAGTTTACTGCTCCTCCCCCCCCCCCCCCTTCTTTCCCCACAAGCATATCGTACAAGATGACTCATTGGAGATGAGTCCTTTAAAGTCCGATAGCATCTACCTGAGAGGTGTACAACCAATAGTCAGCATACAAATAAGAGAGATTTGTGAATTGGATGTGCATGCAAAATTAAAGATCTGAAGTTCAGAGATGGAGAACAATCAGAACTTTCAGCTGGAGTTTGCAGCCAGTGAATGCCAATAAGAAAAAATAAGGCAGCCGTTCGCACATTTGAAGGAGCTTCATGTTTGCTGCTGAACTGTTCTATGGTTCTGGTTCTATCTAAATAAAAAGAATTGTTAAAAAAAAAAAGGAATACTTACGATCTTTTTTGTCCAGAACATTAATACTGCGCTGAAGTGCATTCCTAGCAGTTATTGCTTTTCCTGCCTTGAACAGGAACTGGCCAAAAGATTTCCAAACAACCTTCTCTTTCTTGTACTTCCGAGTCAGTAGAGCATACAGTAGGTCAGCATCCTTTAAAAAAAAAAGTTACTGAATAATGCCGACATTTATTATTAGAAACAGTATTAGGGTATGAAGGACTGAAGTGTGTTAAGAAGGACTGAAGTGTGTTCTATGTATAAGTTGACAATGATGTGTGGCACAAAATAAGAACTCATGACCATATGATGAACTAAAAAGACAAGTAAAGTTACAAATGCTTCTGCTTCTTCTGCATTCTCCTTTAAAATGGTGACTGGCATCTTGTGTTTAGGCTTATGGCTAGGTTACAATATCTACATTTTTTGGCTTAAGATATTCAATTTCAGAAAACCCTTAAACAGTTGCCTACTTGATTCCTTATAGAGATTCCAGGACGAAAATGAATAGACCCACCACAGAAGTCATATGAGAAGTTACAAACCTTGAAATTTAAGAAAGAAAAAACAAAAAACTTGCTTACTGAATATTTTCAGATCGATTGATGAACCAGTTACAGCCGAGGACACAGCCTCAAATACAACAATGTTCAGTCCAGAGCCAAACCGACTCAGATATTTCATGATGCTGATTCAGGACGACTTTGAGAATGGAGGTGGAGGCAGTCACTGCTGTCTTCCGCTGGACTGAGAATCAGCTGTACACACATGTCATAACTGTTACTGACTCACAGAGTATGTTGAGACAGGCATGCTCCGTGCAAAGTGGCAGGCATCGCTTCAGAAGTCCCAGGTAGTTAGCATCTGTTGGATATTTTCTCCAGGTTATGCTGGTGTGTTGGGAAGCGAGCGGACAGATAGACTGACCAGTTCTGCACCACTTGGTTGTGAATTTATGTGCGACAAGCTAGATGTCGTGAGGGTCCTTTGGGAGTGAGTGAACAGTGCAGAGGCTGAGGCACAATAAGACATTGCGGTATGAGGAGCTGCAGAGAGTTACCAGGGGATCTAGTCAATGCTCAACACTCAAAGGAAAGGTGAGAAGGATGTACAATCAGATAGCTACTGGTATCAATAGAACTGGAACTCTTCGTTTGCTGCTTCTGGCAGTGTCCACAGTGCTATGATGTCCATTCTTAATTCAACATTCAACACTGAACATTCCTGCTGATTCAGAATCTTGATACACCAGACTGTCTCAAATGAACAATCATGGTGGCCTCATGCACCTTTTTCAAACACAAGTTCCTAATACCTTTATAGCAGCTTACTTGTTACTCTACAGCTATCACTAAGTTTTGTTGCTATACATTTATTTTTCTAATGTAACTACAATCCTGTCTATCATGCTCATCAATCTCTTGTGTAATCCTACCTCTCATTCTGTGTTTCTATCATGCTCAGCTATCAAATGTCAAGATTATCCTCAACAACTATCTGTTCACATATTCCATGCCAATTCAGTTTTACTTATCTTGCAACTATTATAACTGTCATACATTCATCATTATACTGTTAATAATTGTTCAACCATCGTTAATTTCCCACAATTTTTACCTGTAATACACATAACTACAGCTATGCTCTCCTGTATCTATCACAGCAAGTATGCTAAGAAAAAACTAAAACATGAGTCTTTTACAACAAGGCTATTTAACTAAATTTACTCAGGGACCACAATTTGGAAAATGGGGATCATCACAGGCCAGATGCCTAGACCCAGCATAGAAAGAGTGTCAATACAACTGGCAGGTGAACTGTGTGCCACATGTTAGGGCTTCGAGGGCCATATTTGGCCCAAGGGCCGCCAGTTAAATAGCCTTGTTCTACAACGTAGGCAGAAAATAAAATATCAAGTAAACCATCAGATGTTAAAAACTGCATACTTCCCATGTGGGTTCTGTAACATTATTTTGGGGGGAACAAAAAAAACCCCACTGACCCCAACAAAAAAGTTAGTTGCCTATCCTTTGTAGGATGTTGCAGAAACAACCCCAGCATTTTTTAGCTGTTGTGGTTTTTTAGGCAAATTTTATGTTTAGTAGTTTGCCATTGTTTTCTAAACGGTCAGCTCTCAGGGCTGTCAAAACCAATGCAAGACAAATCTTTGCAGCTGGGATCGATCCTAGCATTTCAAAACACGTTTGTAAAACACACAAATTACCAAGAAAAATAGCACAGTAAACCAAATATTAAAACACACAACGAACCTCAAAATTTCCAGCAGAAACATAAATATCACACATCTTCAGGTACATATCCAATGCATCATTATATGCCACAGCTCTCTCCAGCAGTTTCTTCACATCACTGGTCTCTCCGTACATGGTCTCCATGTTTAGGTAGGCCAGCCACATGTTCTTTTTCTCTTGCTCCTCTCTGAAACACCAAAAAGCAAATAAATTTAACTCTTCAACAATACAAACTGGCTGCATGTAACTCTTCAACAATTCGAACAGGCTGTGTGTAACTCTTCAACAATTTGAACAGGCTGTGTGTAACTCTTCGACACTACAAACAGTCTGTGTGTAACTTTTCAACTATACAAACAGGCTGCGTGTAACTCTTCAACAATACAAACAGGCTGCATGTAACTCTTCAACAATACAAACAGGCAGTGTTTAACTCTTCAACAATATAAACAGTCTGTGTGTAACTCTTCAACTATACAAACAGGCAGTGTGTAACTCTTCAACAATACAAACAGGCAATGTGTAACTCTTCAACAATACAAACAGGCTGCATGTAACTCTTCAACTATACAAACAGGCTGCCTGTAACTGTTTAACAATACCAACAGGCTGTGTGTAACTCTACAACAATTCAAAAAAGATGTGTGTAACTCTTCAACAATTCGAACAGGCTGCGTGTAACTCTTTAACAATACAAACAGGCTGTGTGTAACTCTTCGACAATACAAACAGGCTGTGTGTAACTCTTCGACAATTTGAACAGGCTGTGTGTAACTCTTCAACTATTCAAACAGGCTGTGTGTGACTCTTTAACTATACAAACAGGCTGCATGTAACTCTTTGTAACCCTTTGAAAATAAAGTTTGTTTGTTCGTTCGTTCGTTCTTCAACAATACAAACAGGCAGTGTGTAACTCTTCAACAATGCAAACAGGCTGTATGTAACCCTACAACAATACAAAAAGGCTATATGTAACCCTACAACAATACAAAAAGGCTATACGTAACCCTACAACAATACAAACAGGCTGTATGTACCTCTTCAACAACACAAGCAGGCTGTACAAACAGGCTGTATGAAACTCCAAAAATACAAACAGGCCGTTTGTATAGTAGCAGATACAGTGTAGCATTTTTAAAATAGTTTAGTATAAAATAAGAATGAACATCCTAATTATTTATATTAGGATTAGAGAATGGGTTAAAACAAGACCGTACTGAATTACCTCAAGAGACAGTGAATGAAGTGGTTTGGTTAGCTAGAATGCAGCTAGACAAAATTGTATATTACACCTTCTATTGAAGAACATCTGGATGGAAGGTAAGAGAAGACCAAGGAAAATATGGATAGATGGTGCCGCTGCACCTTGCCAAAAAAAAAAAAATTATCCATCACACTAGCCACTTGAGAAGCGCAAAATAAATACAGAAATGATTAAACAAAGTGATGTCAATAAAAAAAAATTTAAAAAATTAACAACATCCTGATTTACAAATAGCAGATAGCCAATAGAAATTTGATCCTTAAATGGATTGGATTCCTAAAGAATTTTAATGACTAAAAATGACTTATTTTGTTTAGGAGGTTACCTCGCATAATGTGTAGGCATTAAGTCAGATAAACAGATTCATACTAAAGAACAGATTTTACAAATAAACTACTTTTCATTCACCTTTTTAAACACACACAAATCTATTTTAAAAAATGTTTATTTTCTCAATTTTAATTTAAACTAAATTGTCGATTAATAAACATACACCTGAAGATTTCTCGTAGTTTATAAAAACGTATCTATTCCTCTACTGATAAAAATGTTATTCATTCCTTTGTTGTTTAACATTTTATCTAGTCTTCCAAAAACGAATATTTTATCTATTTCTCCGCTGAAGAACATTTAATAAGTTTCTCAATTGATTAATATTTTCTCTACTCCTCTACTACACCACAGCTGGTTAGGTACCTCTCTAACTTAGATGTTTGTTGAACTTCATCGCACCAGCAATGCTAGCCCTATGACAAACCTAATAACAAAAAAGTGATCACTGTGAAACAGAACTAACCATTACAAAAGTCAGCCACCTAAGTAACACTGAAAACAAGACATCAAGAAATTGGAAACAGATTAGAAATATCTAATTATTAAAAATGTGGACTGAAATCACATAAACAATTTGACATATACAGACTGACACTAAAAGATGCAGAAGAGAAATAGAGAGACTAGAGACAGTCCTTTAGCTCGAAGGACTCCTGGGTGATTTTTGTCTGAATATTATTAAGACAAAAAGTGTGGATTGAAAGATATAAAGAGCTTGTGCAGAACAAGGAGACCAGAATGACAAAGAAAAAGCCGAACTTAGACAATCCAGAGCATAAATTAACTGACAGCCCCCGTTGCAGTCTTTATATTCCCTGGAAAGCATAAGAATACAGTAATCATATGGACTAGAATTGTAATGTTGATGAAACCAGTACCTAAATGATATGGTGTTGAGAGCCTTCTCTGCAACTGCTCTTGCCTTCTCAATTTCACCCTGCTCAATGTGGAATGTCATGTAGCGGAGCCAGACAAGTGAGCTGTCAGGAGACTGCAGAACCAGCCTCTCAAAGTCGTTGGCACTTTGTGGATTTGTGTTGCCCTCAAGCTGGCTGCGCTCATACTAGAATACAGAAATCAGACAGTAACTACAATACAGACATCTTGAGATAAAAAACATGGGCATTTTAATAATAAACAGGATGCTTATATAATGTCAAAATTATTTGTTTATTCAATTCAATATTCTGTCTACTAAGATGCATCCAATGTCTATAACTTCTAAATGTGATTCTTATTCTTCTTCTGCGTTTATCCGAAGATGTAGTTGCGTTATGTCCGTTTACAGCATGGCTGCGAAATCTGCACCTTTCGACCAACACATCCGACTTCTGCTGGCATTTGTTGACCGGGTTAGCCTTCCCGGCAAATGCTATTCATTACGCATGCTTCTAAATAACTTCTTCTTTTTCTTCTATGCACTCACAGGCTGTAAACTCTAGTTGTTCATCCACTTCTGGACTTTGGTCTTGCTCCAGAACTTGAGTTTGCATGCACATCCATTTTACAGATGTGGCTTATTTGTATGTAAACTGTTGGTTCATCATCTCTCAGACAGATGCATTCCAACTCAGAAAGAAACATCTCTAATTAGTCGACTTTTAAGATACGCCTGTTAGGGGGTAGCAAGTCTGTTCTTCTCTCCCCCCCCCCCAAGAAAATGGGTCATCGGAAACCACCTGGTCATTTTAAACACCCAACAAAATTAATACTGAATTACGTAAAACTTACTTCCTGTATAACTTTTTCTTCATCTCTTTTTCTTTTCTTTTTTAACTTGCTTGCATCAGATTTCACCTGTAAAAAAAAACACAAGTGTACATTCATGAAATACACAATTAACAGATATGGAAGCAAAGAACCAAATAGAAGAGGGCACAATCCTAACCCTTTTAGCACGGGAAGTTTTTCAGATATCTAGCCAAAAACACGGAGCATTTTTTTCAATAAATTTGGTTATTACTTTATTTAATTTTTTTCACACATTTCTGTTATTCTGACCCCGATGAAATAACATTTCTATTTGAAGGATATAGATTGAAGTTCATGATTTTCACTATATCGTTAAAATTAATTGGTGTATATGCAAATTATCTCATTTGCATATCTAAAAATAGAAAATTAGAATGTGAATTTTCAACTTCAATGCGTGAAACATACAACTAAAAACAAAAAAATATTTTATTTGAAATCTTTTTATTGATCCTTGGCCTTTTTACAAATGTTGTAAGCAATTCAATAGTCAAAAACAGGTATATATTTATATATATATATGAAACAGCAATAATATCTTTAGGTGACATGTGTTTTTGACCATCAGTCAGCACAAGAAATGGATGTGCCGGAGTTTGGGTAGATGTACCCAGAGCTATGGTTGGGCTGTGGTCTGAACACAACAGCGTCCCCATCTGATTCCCCACTATTACTACTAACACTAGATCCTGCATCAGTATCAACAGAATTAGTGCAATCACTTGATTCAAATGTTTTATCAACATCAAGTTTAGGGGCAGAAACATACAAGTCAGACATACTTTTAGCGGTTCAGGTCACTATCTAAAAAATTCAACAATTTTCACTTCGATACCAAACACTTGAAAGTCGCAATGTGTAAAGCTAATACAGCAGTAAATATGAATGAATCACTTTCAGTGTTTCAAAATAGGAGATTCCTTAGCGGTTGGTGGCGAAACACAATCGGGCCGATGATCGGCCGTTCTGTGTTTTTGGCCAGACATCCGCCGGCCGATAATCGGCCCGTCCGTGCTAAGAGGGCTAAATATAACTAGACAATTTCCAGTGTAAGCAAAAGATATTACAATGGTTAAATGAGTATATAAATTTAGTATATTTATTTATAAATGCCAAAACTTTCAGAATAATTCTTCCATGTACAAACTTTTAATCACTGCTTGCCAAGTACAAATAAAGACCGGCATAAACACGTCCACAAATCTATGCCTCTTGACAGAGCACAACAGACTTAACAAGCTAATGCACAGACTTCTTCACTGTGTTGGCTGCATGAATAAACTGCAGAGCATGTCCTGCAGGACTGTGCCTTGTACAAGACACTAAGACAGGAACTCTGATCCAATAAGTAAACACCACACTTACAGAGATGTGATAGATTTTTTTTTTTTAAAGAATAATATCAGAAAATTGTCAACATTATCATTAGAAACATCATTCTGTGTAAACATCAAGAGTACATTCACAAGCAGGAGATAGAACAGTTACCTCAGTTTTTACTGTCTGGAATCACTACCTGGTACCCATTTTGAGGCTGGGTCGTCCTGGCAACCAATGTCATTTTTTAAATAATTCAGGATCTAGACCCATGACCTTTGTATCCGCAGGCAAGAGACTAGGAGCTTCACTGTGGCGGCTCCCAAGTATCATGTACAGGGTCATAAAAATGATTGCTGGGATATTAAACTTTTTATTATTTAATAATTGTAGAATTACAGATAACAGAACTACTATATACTTACAATATTATCACCATCATCATTATCATTATCTGAATCAACCTTGTCATCATCTATTTTAGCTGTTAAGTCTCCCTCCCAAGAAAATCCTTGCACAGAAAGCCTTGGTACTTGAGTTCCTTTCTTTGCCTGGAAAAAAAAATCAAAAGATATGTTCCTAATGAGTGAATGTTTCACATAAAATATACTAACAATCAGTGAAAAACTTAGGGGGGGGGGGGGGGGGGGGGTGTTCAGATGTGGTTTCTAGGGAATGATGACATTTTTACAGAAGAAAAAAAAGGCATAGGGCAAACGTTTTGACAGAAATTACCTGGCAGAGAAAGCTGATCACCCGCAACAGAAAGAACTAATCCATATTCGGCTATCTTCTGAATAACGGTCCCAAATTATCGAGGCAGAAAATATAATCCAACAGAGCCTCAATCACGTGTCAACTGCGCACTTCCGGCAACTTAAACTGCGCATTTCTGGCGACTTGTGCCACCGCCGAGAGTATCCCCCACACCGCTTACGCAGCGTGGATTGGGGCTGAACTAGATGGCTGGGACTCACGAGCAGCAGCTACCACATTTCCTGCGGGTGCTTTCATTTTATCTGCTCGTGAGTCCCAGCAATCTAGTTTAGCTCCAATCCACGCCGCATTGCGGTACTCTCTGCGGTGGCGGTATAGTCCCCAGAAGTGCGCAATTGACACGAGACTGAGGCTCTGTTAGGGTATATTTTCTGCCTCGATAATTTGGGACCGTTATTCGGAAGATAGCCCCATATTCTTTAGGCAAGTCACAAGAGGGAAAAAAAACGGAAGTATGCCCCAAAAACAGGAAATCTAGAGGGGACAAGATGCAGAGAAAGACTAAGAAAAAAGATACTGGTTAAAAGTAAAGGTAAAGTCGGGAGATGTAAGCCAGCATCATTGAACACGGTTATAAACCATAGGTGCTCTGCAACCAGTACGGAGAGCTGTTAAGAAACTGTCCGCCTGTGTTGTCATCCGCACGCAACTCCGTAGCTACATGCATATTCCTCCATTTACCCCAGAGTGTCAACCAGGAACCACCCGGTTTCGAACACCGACCGTGGACTGCAGCGAGTCGCAGCTGAATTTGAAAGTGAGTCTCGTATCGGCTGCGCTAAGGCGGTCGCGTGGCATTATGGCTTGAAGGTATATTTGTATTAAAATTAAAATAATGGCAGTAAATGTGACAGAAGGCTGAGGTCAGACATGATAACCAATGTCACATGGCATGCTTTTTAATAAGATAAACTAACCGTAAAAGAAGTTACAAAAAAGAGCATAATGTATGAACAACAACCACAACAGACTAACTAATAAGATAGCAAAAATAATTATATAGTCATTTACTTAAAACACTTTTATACGTGCAGCAAAGCGGAGGAGTTCTAGGCTCAACAGTTTCAGAATTATGATTTTTCTATACTGAGTAATGCAAAGGATTTTTATCTCTCTGACATTGGAAAAATAACTTCTACACTGCACAGCAACTAGAACAAGCAGACTTCAAGCTTATACATTTTCAATATCCTTATAACAAAACTAACAAAAATGGTACAAATAATCTGATGATCGTTTATATTACTGCGTTCTTTCACGCATTTATTTCAACATTCTAGTGTACTTACCAAAACTGCTGATAGGAATACTATATGAACATAAAGAGATAAGACAATTACATGGAGATGTTTGTGAAACATACCCCAGACATTCAATATTTATTACAGATAAAGAGAGTTCCTCACAGTCAAAAGATTGGTATGTAGCTAGCTAGGTAAATAAATAGGTAGGCAGGCAGTGAGTGGACTGTAAATAAGCAGTGAGGTAAATAAACAGATATTGTTTTTTTTTGTTCGCAAGTGATGTGATTGTGTTGTGCCTGTTTATAGCAAAGCTGCAATTTTTGCTCCTTTCGGCCAACACATCCAGTTTCCTCAAGCACTTGTTGACTAAGTTAATAGACAGATATGTACCTAAATAGATATATGATTGGGTTTTAGACAGTGTGACAGGTCTGTAAGCAATAAGGTATTGATTAAATGGGTAAGCAGTCAGGCAACTAGGCAGGAGGCAACATCTTTTAGGCAGGCTGAGATGTGAGCTAATTCTGTAAATGACTGTTACAAAATGATGATGATAATGTACAAATACAGAAACACCACAACCATAAATAGCACTTACCAGCTCAATCGTTTTTCCACCCTCCTTGTCAGAGTCTGATAAATCGCCATTGTCTCCTTGTTCCTCAACATCTGCTAAAGTCTTCTTCTTCCTTTCCATCTTCAAGACTTTCTTCATCTTAATAATGTTCTTTTCTGCTTTGGCTTCTGTTTCCACCAGTGAGGTCTCATGCTTTCTCTTCCTTGCCTTTACCACGGGTACCTGGCTGCAAACACAATGATAATATTCTATTCAAATCTTCTGCTTCTTCATCATTTTCACTGACTGTAAATTCTGATGGAGAGTTCTGGTTCCAGAAATTAAGCTTTGCATGCATATTCATTTTACTATTTGTAGATAGAATGTTGGTTTATCTTCTTTCAGGCAGGTGCACTCTTTCGAAGGAAATTCTCCTATATAGCTGACTTTTACGTCATGCTTATTAGGGGCCAGTTGGTCTATCCCCTCATAATCACTGACCATTACTACTTTGGATGAAAAAATGGTCTTCATCACTCATGATGGATAAAAAAACAAGTGTTATTTCAGATTTATGTGTGCTGATGAAGACTCTCTAGTAGCAATGTCTACTTGTCATTTGTGTCTGTGATATTGTCAAGCTGGCTGGTTCAACTTTTCATTTGGTCTGGTATCTTTTCTTGATAGCTTAAAATGAGTACCCTGAAATTCTCTGAGAAGTAAAGAAAGCCAGCATAACCATATCACCCAGCAATATATAAGTCAGATACGTGAATTTTGTGTATTCTTGTGTGTAAATGTATCACTGTCTGTTTTTGTTATGTGCTGATGAATGCTTTCTAGCCTGAATATTATTGTAACATGTTATTCGTGATTGTGGCAATGTGCATCTGACTAGTTCTACTTCTCCTCATCTGGTCTGCTATCTTTTTATGATTAGACCCAGAAAGTGTCACTGCTTTGAAAAGTAAAGGGTTAGCACCAAATACTCATCATCCCTGATAGACAGAAATTTAAGCATCTTACATGTCTTCCCATTTTTGTTGGTCAGCTGAAAAAGCTTTTCTGAGAACAAAAGTTTTAAAGTAAAATACTGAATCAGTGTTTCTTGAGTGGCCAAGAAACAGATTATAAACAGCATTTCCTTACCAACACTGTGCTACTAGTGCCAGACTTGGACATTATCAAAGGCTAACCTAGGTAAAGTTAACACATGCAAAATGAGATGCCGGAGAAAAGCTGTCAACTTAACCATCCAAGACTAAGTTGGAAATAATATCAGAGAGATTGTAGGAACAACACCATACAGTAAATTCAATGAAAAACAGCTCAAATGGTTTGGTCATTTAGTAAGAATGCAACCAGAACAACTACCAATGCAGGCACTACACATGAAAATATCCTAACTGAAATCAAGAGGCTGCACTAGCAAAATATGGATTGATGACATTAAAAAGCTTCTACATTGACACAGAATGATAATAGCCAATGCTACCCATCAAGCAATGAATTGCCAACTGTTCCTCTCCACAACACTTAACGGTAGAAGTGGAAACTGATGATAATTGATGATGATGACTGAATCACAATCAACCAACTCACCTCTGATCCAAGAGTGTCAGAATGCACCTGTCTAGGTTTTCTATCTCTTGGACTTGACATCTGATGTACTGACCCACATAGTGAAGCATAGTCGGTGGTGTGTTTACAACACCCAGCCGTCCACCAGGCAACTTCACATAGAGGGCTACCCCTGGCTTCATACTTGTAATCAGCGCCGTCACTGGTTCTCCGACTGTGACCTTTATTCCGCCATCTTAAACACAATCAATCAAACAGGTAAACAAATAAAGACACTTCATCAGAACAAAGTTAATTAAGGAATTTTAACCCTATCCCCACCAAAGTAAAAATTTAGTTACTTTCAGTTGTGACATAGTCCCGTAAATGCTGACGTACCATTATGTCTGCAGACTGCAGAAAAACGTATTTTAAAAATGCCCCTGGTTCAATGTGCACCTGCTTAGGGTTTAGGAGACCCACAAATGTATATATTCTTTTAAACAAAAAGCATTCAGCATGGCTTCCTTGAAAATTCAATGGTTTCTTCAAAGCCAATTTGGCGTAAACATTTTCCTGTACGCCTCAGTGATAGTGATGACTAGTTTACAGATTAGTCACCCGATACATAACTGTTTTAGGTCCCAAGAACTTTTCCATTTAATGTAATGCAATACAATGTTCTTTTTTTTTTATTGATTACCCCCTTCATATATCACTACATTTTTTTTTAAATTAATGTAATGTAGATTAATAAATTTGTAAACAGCTTATAGTGACCTGTATAATTTTATGGTTTTGTTGCTTTCTTTGTTGTTGTTTTATTTGTGTTTAAAGAATTCCCAAGGGTTTAAGTTTTTTTTTTTTAAAGCATTTGCGGGTAAAAGGGTTATGTTTGTTCTAACCCTAACAAGCATGTTATAATAGGCACCTAATTAGGGATGTTTGCGTCAAAGTCAAGGTGAATCTGCCTGAGCGATCAGGAACCAATCGTCTGCATTCAATTAAGCTAGATCTGTAAAACAGATGTGCATGCAAAAAATAAAGTCCCGGAACAAGTTCAAGAACTGGACAAACAGCCTGAACTTTTTGTCCAAGTTGACAATAATCTTCGTCATCCCCCTTGTGGGATGGAATTTTTCATTATTTTGAAGCCCCAAGCCTGATGGTTAAATTCAGTTTCCGGGACCTCTCCACGGATAATCCTCATCCGCATGGTGACACTTTGCATCACTGGGTGTTTATCGCTCTGTGTGATGTCCTGGTGGGGTAAAAATGTACTTACATCCTTAAAAACTGAAAATCAATAAAAGCCAAAAAGATACAGAATGTGCCAACCTTTCAAGAGCGGACAGTTGAGAAATGTATGGTCAGGACTGAACAGGTATGACCTGTTGTTTAACATTAAAGTACAGTAACTGACAATTTTCATACCAATTCTTGACAAGACCAACTTATCATCATTGTCACTCTCCAGAACGGTCACTTGGTAGGCTTGACCTGTCTTGAAGTGACTGCTGACGTTGTTTAAAACATCTGCATTGATGGACAGGTGGAAGAAATCAATGTATCCTTGCTGTTTCAGGCTCACCTGGAACCAGACCTTGTTGCTGGATATCTGTTCATCATAATTTGGATAAAGAAGACAAATTCTTTCAAATCAATTTCATGTCTCAAATAAAACAGATTAGGGTGGCTAATTTTAAGCTTGGACCAAAACCAGTTAACATAATACGCAAAGAAAGTTTAACAAATAAAACACCAACTTAAATGGGTCAAATAAAATCTCGTTCTGGTGAACAAAAAAAGTAAAACTCATAAATTCAGGAAAGCATAAAACATTTAAGTCAGTGCCAAAAAATCTGATCTAAATCTAACAATTAGATAACTTGTGCAGTGATTAGTGTGCACCTCATTCAGTCCACCAGTCCTGTGTTCTAATCCCCAGTCCTGTGTTCTGTGTTCTAATCCCCAGTCCTGTGTTCTAATCCCCAGTCCTGTGTTCTGTGTTCTAATCCCCAGTCCTGTGTTCTAATCCCCAGTCCTGTGTTCTAATCCCCAGTCCTGTGTTCTAATCCCCAGTCCTGTGTTCTAATCCCCAGTCCTGTGTTCTAATCCCCAGTCCTGTGTTCTAATCCCCAGTCCTGTGTTCTAATCCCCAGTCCTGTGTTCTAATCCCCAGTCCTGTGTTCTAATCCCCAGTCCTGTGTTCTAATCCCCAGTCCTGTGTTCTAATCCCCAGTCCTGTGTTCTAATCCCCAGTCCTGTGTTCTAATCCCCAGTCCTGTGTTCTAATCCCCAGTCCTGTGTTCTAATCCCCAGTCCTGTGTTCTAATCCCCAGTCCTGTGTTCTAATCCCCAGTCCTGTGTTCTAATCCCCAGTCCTGTGTTCTAATCCCCAGTCCTGTGTTCTAATCCCCAGTCCTGTGTTCTAATCCCCAGTCCTGTGTTCTAATCCCCAGTCCTGTGTTCTAATCCCCAGTCCTGTGTTCTAATCCCCAGTCCTGTGTTCTAATCCCCAGTCCTGTGTTCTAATCCCCAGTCCTGTGTTCTAATCCCCAGTCCTGTGTTCTAATCCCCAGTCCTGTGTTCTAATCCCCAGTCCTGTGTTCTAATCCCTGTAGGAGTGTGTGTGTTTGTTGTGTGTGGTAAAGTTCAGGGTTTTGGAGTCAAGGTAGCCTCATAAATAAGACAGACAAAAATTGTCTGGAAGTGAAATGTTGTGTTAGTAACTTAACTGTTGTGAAAATTTTTACAATGTCACACCGCTGTATGTACAATTTCACCATCTAACAAGCGTCTAGGATTTATGTTTAATTGAAGTCATTTCTTTCTGGGTCTAGCACTAGTTAAGTCTCTAATATACCAGTAACTGCTGGACAAATTATAATAAATCACTCAAGGTATGATTTATTAGTGCCATCAGTATTGTTTAATGTGGACGTACACACGATGTTCGTGAACAGGTGATGTAAGATAAACAAGTACTCTCTCGGTCACTCTCGTTCTATTAACGGGTCACTCGCTCCAATACCAGCACAAAGTGCGAACAGTCCTCAGTCAACCAGCTGGAGACTGTAACACACAATGTTTGCACCAGAAATCCAAGTACGATTCAAGTATGCTTTGCTAGCAAACAACACCAGCACAAAGTCCAAACAGTTCTTCCCAGTCTCCACAACTGGACACAATACATCCATCCTTGCACTCTTTGTCCTGATGGCTGCTTCGGGCACCTTTCACCCGACCGTCCTCTGTTCACTACCTATATAAGAGACTGCCATATGAAAGCTTAAGGTAGTCACAACAAATTGGTGAAACAAATCCAGAACATGGTCTGATACCTTCTCCCATCTCCCCATCACCATCTCAGACTGGTTTCAACACACAGTTACCGCATGTCAACTAGCGTGACACATCGAAGCACCAATGCCAACTCCAACACACATGGACCAACACTTACTTTATTCTCTGGTGAATATCTACGCTAATAAAATAAGAGAACTCAATTTTCTAATACATCAAATTCAACTAGACTGTGCAGGCTCTCCCAAAAAATATAAAAAACATGACTAAAACAGTCATGCAACAAGACCAGGCATCCAAACTCTTTCAGTGATTACAGGCTGGTAAAATAGATGACTGCGCGAATCATCTAACAGTATTCACTCTCAGGTGGGTCAGTACATACCCATGGAATCCGAAAATCTCAGACAACACGACCTCCACGCTCTTTCAGTGGCCACGTATCCACTCACTTAGCACATCGGGAATACCCAAAGATGCTCCGTTTCTCGTAGCAAATGAATTAAGGTGTAGATGCTAACTGTTCTCGGTGAATACTGATTACGCACATGTCGTTCTCTACCTCTCATCTGTTTCCTCCTTGCCAGATCCACACATAATTACTCATTCATTCTTATACGTGCTATTTTATCTGATCTTGTGTCTTCTGTCAACATTCGTTCATAGATGGTCTTTAGAATATCTCCCTTGTCCAGTACGAGTGTTCCCGTAGCTTTCGCTTTTATAGCCAGAAAATCTGTTCTATTATTCTCTCGCTCCTGCATTACCAAGACAGTATGTTCACATGATTCCCTGCATTGCTGCAATATCAGTCATGCATGGTATCCACTCATGCCACATTAGTCTATTCTGAACCTTTTGCAACGCCGACTGAGAATCAGACACAATAATTCCTCTGGTAACTTTGTTTTCCGCTATCCAATGCAGAACTGCAGTGATTGCCTTCACTTCCACTCTCATGCTTGAAGTTGTAGATAACAAAAGCTCCCTTTTGTTCCGCCATAATTTTTCCCTTCATTCCAGCTGAAAATCCCCAGCCAGGTCTTACATCCCGATGAACAGAACCCTTGGTGTACACTACTGCATTATCTAGCCATGTCTTCCCATATAACAGTTGTTATACCTCTAATTCTGCCATACTGTTACACCACTCTACATTCTCTTCTTAACGTGAAAATGACCTGATAGGAAACTGTTGTTGTGGGTGTTCATGTCGACCCATTCCGTGTGTATTTGCTTGACAGATGCCGCCTGGTTCAATTCCTGGCATAGTAACTATAGCTTACAATTTTTTTTAGGTTGTCTAGTGTGCCCTTTTATCTTTCTACATCTTTCTATGGGTGTCAATCAATACACTGTCTGTCTGTCTATTTTATATAATGTAGCTACGGCCTCAAGGACTCCCTGAAAGATGGCCAGTGTGAAACCACATCCCCTCCCCCCCATCAAGTTCTTACAGGTTTTTTCATCTGTATTCACTATTTAAAATGTGGTTGTCATGTTGTATTGTGGTTTACAGCAAGGCTGCAATATCTGCACCTATGTGACCTAACACAACCGATTTTAGCAAACCCCTAACTGGTCAGAATTAACAACATATTTGTGAGGGTTGGAATGTTAGGTCGGTGGTTCTTACCACCCCCCCCCCCCTCCCCCTTTCCCACCCCAGGTTATGTCCTGGGAAGTAAAGTTAGCGGGTATGGTGTGGATTACATCCCCTATTGAGTGCCAATTAGTCTATACAAATAGACATACAGTGCTATCTGCTTGATACACCAAAGGCATGAAAAGGGGCCTTTAATACTCGAGCAATGCACTTGTTTCTTTGGTATAATAATGGTATAATCTTTTTTTTTGTTTTTAAATATGTACAAAATAAAACTGTGTCTGCTAAAATAGTATGCATTAAAACATAAATAAAATTAAAAAAACATAAATCTATACATACCTTTATAACATATGCTACAACCTTGTCATCAGGCTGTAGGGCCAGTTTTGGGGTGAATAAATCTGCATCAGTTTCACTACTGATTTTGCTGGAGAAGAACAGATTTTTTAAATATAAATGAAGTGTTTATGCTGTTGACATTAATAGATCATGACAGCACAGTGATATCTTTAACTTCAATAAATAGATCAAGAAAAGATATAAAACAAAAAGTATACTTAGCAAGCCTAACAATATAACAAATACAAACTAAATGTAAACATTGCTATAGAGCCTTCATCAGCACATACAAATCAAACAATACTACACAAATACACAAAATATACAATAAATAGAGAGAATAATGACCTATTAAACAAAGACAGTCTCCTAAAAAAGGCTTTAGAATTCTGAGAAAATAAAGCTAGCCATTACATGGTGATTTGTTCGTTTAAAAAAAAACAAGAACCAATATGCTTTAACTTTCTGTGTTAATGTGTTTTAATTTGTGGGATGTACAGATCTTAGCTTGGCTTGGTTTTTCTCCATGTTCATAATATCCTTACTTTCTTTTCATAAACCACAACTTCCCTGCCTTCAGTATCCAATAGTCCTGGGTCCAGTATTGGTTTTCATCTATAATAACATTTACCAGGGTTCGATTCCTGCTGTGGTTTAGAAAACAATACTGTTTTCCTCAAGAGCTCAGAATGCTGAAGAAAAAGAAGATTGTTAGCAATGGATATCCTGCAGTCAACATTTATTGTGGAAATGGCACAATTTGTATTTTATTATTTATTATCTGAATCCATGCAGGAGAAAAGCCACACACAACTTCTCAGTAAAAGCTTCTTGTGATATTTCTGTCTGCCATTTGCCATAACACTGCTCAATCCAGTAACAAGAGTCTTTAAACTTGGCAGTTCTTCTATCTCTGTGTCGCATTTTTGTCAGATGTGGTTGCGTAGCACATACATTTTAAAAGACATATTTTACTTTTACTAGATACAGAGTATACTGGAGCTGATTTAATTAGCATGTTACTATAGTAATAATGACTTTGTGAACATACCTTTCTTTCAGAGTACACTCCAGGAGAGCCCTATTAGACTTGGGATGAGTAATGGGTAGGTAGCTGAGAATTGAAACCATATGCATTAAATTCAAAATCTAACAATGTTACCACTACAACAATCTTAAGGCTCACTCTATCTATATAATCGTTATGTCATTGTTGACATGCATAATTAATACCATCTGCTGCATTTGTTTTTACATGGTTTTAATTAATTGTCAGTTTATGCTTCCTTATTTCCTATTTTCCTTTCAACTTTCTATTTCCAAATTTATTTATGTTTCCCATGTCTACTTTCTCCATCTGCCATCCACAGAGGAGCTGAGCTGTCTTTGCCGGAGCATTATGGCCCACAATATTCAATTTCAATCTTCTTTAGACTTTTGAACACTGGCAATTCACACACAGGACCTCTTTCTCACTCTTATCAGAGAAAGCAGAGTATTAAATCTTACTATTCAACAGATTAGGCAGATGCGGAAAAAAAGACCAATGGTAACAACAAAGGTCCTCAGCTCTATGCTGAGACTTGAAACCAGTAATTTTCTGTCTGAAACAGACAAATCTCAGCCACACTATAACCAATCTGTAGGAAGTAAACAGAAATTGTGTCTGTCCAGTAAATGCCTGCATTTTCAAATAACCCACGTGTCTCATCAGACAGCAGAATTGGTAAACTTGCAATACTGATGCAAATGGGTAGACTGCAGTCAAGCTTATATGCTTAAATGAAGAAATTAATTTGCTGAACTGTTGAGATACAAATTACAACATTATGATTATTTATTTATTATTTTCTTTTATATTGATAGTATTATTACTATTCCCGCACGTTCATTTATTTTATTCATTCGACATCAGCTGTTCCTCTGCTTGTATTTTATATGTATTCACGTGAACGCCTGTTTAGGGCACCGGTGGCCAGGAAATTCTTGTGGTTTGTGTTGAGAAAGGCTCCAGCTGAAACAACGAGATCTTTCTTAAGTACGTTGTTCCCATTCCCCTTTCACTGAGATTCTTAGCCAGTTAAGTGGATGAACTTCTAACCATATTAACAGTTGTCTTTAAAAATTACATACCTCTGAGACTTGAGATCTCTTAGTGCTAGGACTTTTACTTTCACCATCTTATCCTGCCGATATTTTTGTAGAGGGCTTTCTCCCTGAAAGAGAACATAATTAATATTGAAACAACAGGCTATGATTGATGAAGATACTACATACTCAGATTAACTCAGTCAATTTACTAAAATTATTGCAGCTCCTAATAAGGTAGAATAATAATTCAGGTAATTTATATAAATTATTCCACATCAAACAAACTTACAATAATGCAGATCCAATATACTATTTTTAATTCAGATCCAACATAATACTAAGATTAATTAAGATCCAAAAAATTAAAATTAATTCATAGGAAACTTATTAAGATTAATTCAGAAGGCACACTTATTCTAATGAGAAAGTAGCTTAATAACATTACCACACAACTAACATAGTAAGCATGGCATCGCCAATGATAACTGTATTCAGTGTCACAGTCACACCTTATCTTCTTCTTCTTTGTTCATCGGCTGTAAGCTCTGATGGAAAGTCCTGGTTGTTCGTCCATTTGGACTTTGGCTGTGTGCCAGGGCCTGAGTTTTGTGTGTACATCCGTTTTACTAAATTATTTGTGTGCAGTTGGTTGTTCCTTGCTGCTCGGGCAGATGTACTCCCACTTCGAAGGAAGTCCCCAGTTGGTCGACTCCTACGACATGCTTGCTGGGACGGCAGTGGATCTATTCTTGTTTTCAACACACAGGGGGCCCTGGAACCCACACAGGGAGTCACACCTTATATTAGCTGTGGACTTATTTAGAATCTTCCTTGTTTAGAATCTTCATCAGGGCAATTCTGAACAATCCACAAACTAATACATGCTTCTGTCTTGATGTACCAACCTCTTCAACGCTGTCAGCAGCCTCTGTTATATGCACCCGACCATGTAAATCATTGACTACGATATTCAGCTGCAGTGGGTGGACATTTCTGATTCTGTAAAGTCACAATACCAAAAGCTGTGATCAATGAATGTGGCATGGCAGATTATAAGTGCATCTAGTACAGTAGAGGAAACAGCAGATGAAAAATAATTACCAGTAAATTAATGACATAGCATTTTACAAAAATCATTAACTGGTGCCTGTGTAGAATAGAGGGAGTCAAATGGTATGATAGAATCACTAATGTGGAGCTTTGGGGAGAAGTGAACAAATTCTAGTTAGTCAAGAGGTGAAGAAAAGACACTGGTGTTAGATGGGATACATACAACAATATGAAATTAATACAAATATAACTTGAATGTCTTTATAGAAGGGATTGAGAAATAATGGCAAAACTAATTTTAAAAAAAAAAGATAGTAGAAAATTACAGAGGGATGTTAAAAAATATCAGTTCAGGGCCTAAAAAAGATCAGTTTAGGGCCTATCTCCCATGTGAAAGCAAAGCTTAGGAATACTACCTGAACAGCACATTAATGAGCTGATATAAATATTTTTTTTATCCTAAAAAAAATTAAATCTCTCCCCCCCCCCCTTTCCCCCCTAAGTAAACTGATGCCCCTGTGTACTGTTATGTCTCAAAATTCCTGTAACTACCTCTGTACTGGTAACCTCAAATCTCTTTTTCCAGAAGCATGCCTTTCATCCTTCTCCATTCTAAAACGACTGTGGCATTTGATATGCCCCCCCCCCCCCCACCCCAAATATTGTTTTTGTTTTTATAAATGAAATATCCCAGTTAAATTAATGTGAAACTCTTCTACAGAACAGGGTTATAATTTGAACTCCTTTAAATCCAGTATTTATTAGTTTATGTCATTAGTTTAAAGTAACAACTGCTTCAGATATTTTAAGCTAATGTTTTTAAAAAAACTTTAGGGACTAAGTAGTTTAAAACAAAAAGAAAATAATATTTGGCATTAAAAAAAAATATCTTGTTGAATTTTTACGGCAAGTTCTGTTCAAGGATTACCTTTAGTGCTGCAAATATTTCACGGCCACAAAATGACAACAAAAACATAAAGAAAAAGAAAAAAAAACAAATACTTCATGTTGAACTTACTTGGCATCTATTACCATTCCAGGTTTTATGTTGTGTTTAGGCAATGTCTTCAAATTGATTTTCTTTGCATTCTCCTTTGCCATAACTTCAGGATCCTGGCTCTTAAGGACTGCCAGAGAGTAGTCACCAAATGAGCTGCAAGAATATATTTCAATTGTTTTATGTATGCAGGCTACCTCATTTTTTTATGCTTTCAGTGCTAAACAAGGACAATGAGCAGATCACATGAACAAACAATTACCTGTAGAATACGCTATTCCCAGAAGGTCACCAAAACACAAGAATGGGCAGGGTCCTAAATACTAGCATTAGAGAGAAATTGGAATAAAACCATTTCTGGATTATACTGACAAAGAATGAAATGGTTCAGCCCCCTAGTAAGAATGCATCAAACCAAAATGCATCTGAGACCTTTTTAACAACCTGGTATCAGTAAGACAACAAAAGAAGAGAGAGGGATGGAACAAGACCATGCCTGAATGACATCAAGAGACACAAAATGCAGTTTCGTCGACTAGTAAGAATGTAGCCAGACTAAATACATGTGAAACCTTTAACATCTGGGCAAAATATGACAGGATGATCAAGGAAGAGATGGACAGAATCTAGCAACAAGAAGAACAAGAAATCCATCACTTAAGCCGCTCAAGAAGCGCAAGACAAAAAGTGAAAATTGTTACACTGGGCTAGAACCAGGTAACTGAGGACAACAAAAGATTAAATTTAGGCAAAGCGCTCCCAAAAAATAATTAATCTGTAAGATATCAGGACAGAATTAACACATGTGGTTCGCTTCACAAGTTTTCTTTTTATTTAATTTATTATATAAAGCACTCATGAGCCACACGATTATGCATACCAACACTGTGTCCAGAGTTCGATTTCCAGCAACTGCAGGCTTTCTGTTCACCAAAAGATGCACAAAACTGATTGTCATCATCATCTTCCACTTTTGCTATCAAATGCTGTTGGGCAAACAGTTTGTGATCTAGTGCTCACCGGTTGGTATTAACTACTGTCATACTGAGTTAAGCTGAGTCAAGAATTGACATCACAACACTCGGGGCATTCCCATGCAGGCTCATCATCATCTTCAGCAGCCAGCGCAGAGTTCCAATACTAATGGCACTGGTCACAATCTGCTTATATGCCCGTCTTGCCATTCCTCTGATAATACTCAGCCGGCCAGACCCTCTGGTCACACCCAGGTGCCTCATTTTCTCCAGGCTATAATAATCTTGTTTCTCCACTGATTTTGGCCAGAGTTTACAGGCAGTGAACACGACAACGACTAAAGGAGTATCCTGCCATAGGATACTTTTTAACTTACTGCACCTCGAATAAAAAGCAATTTTTCTTCTGCATTCGAAAGGATGATCTGAATGTTGTGTTGTGGTGATAAGTGAGGATTATCATCATAGCACTCCATGCAGATCCACGGGTGCCCCCATTTCCTCCTCAAAAGCTCCACAAGCATTTGAGCTTTTATCTATTGTAAACTATTCCAAACAGTAATAAGCATACTGTGGTTACTTCGATCATACTTTATGTGTATGGGTATCTGCACGCACACATGAGAGATATCAACAAACAAAGTGAAAAGATAAACTGCAGTACTTACTCTTTCACAACAACTTCGGTGAATGTTCCAGGTTCATATGGCCGATCAATCTCTACATCATTAATGTGCTTGTGGAATCAAGTGAACAATATAAGTACATACTTTTTTTAAAATTATTATTTTGTGTACATATATAAAGAGAAGAAAATTTAAGCCCCCCTCCCCCTCCAAATGATTGTTTAGGCAATGCCCCCCCCTTCCCCCCAAATAAAATCAAAAGATATTTAGAATACAATGAAAAAAGGAAACTAGACATTCAACAACTTGGGGGAGAAATTTTCTAACGATCATCTCATGGTCTAAACTTAACCCTAAATGATTGTTTATATTTGTCTACTCAGAGTTTACACCGGCAGCATATTTTTGCATGGATGGTAGTTTAATGTAAGATTCACATGCTTCTATGCTTAATTTGTAAAGCACTTATATAGCAGTGTCATTCATGTGTCAATGCTGGTGAAAATTATGTTAAGAAACAGAAAATGTGAGTAAAATAATAAATGGTGTACAAGTTCATATCTTGATTGCTGTTTTTGTATAATTCTGTAAATGACTTCCACTGTAAAACAAAGACAAAACCTGTATAGTTACCTGTCTGACTGGAACGTACACACACTTTCCAGTTCCATGGCCTCTTAAGCACATAAGCATAAATTCTGGTTTGACCAGTAAGACGTCCGCTTTCAGGATCTGTCCACTTTTCACCTGCAATGACAGATTATAATATACAAACTGACTTTCAAGATCTATACACTATATATGTAATATATATTATATTATATGATGTATTATATGAGTATTATAAAGCAAAATATACTGTAGTGTAGACATTACCATAGCATTAAACAATATCCTAACAAAGCTCTACAGCAATACAACATTACAAGCTGACAAACCTGAGTTTTCTTGTTCTCCTTTCGTGAATCAATAGCTTTGACAAGTTTCTGATCTAAGCTCAGCTCCACACAGGGGGTCAGGAGGTCAATATACAGAACTGCTGCCTTGTGCTTGCTGCCTACTGCTGGTTCCATGCCTGAATTTTATGAAAGAAGGGGGGAAAAAACAATATTATAATGCAAAGTTTAAAACAGCAAGTGTTTTAAAATGATTTTGATCTTCTTCTGCATTCACCTTGCGGTTACAGCTAGGATATGATATCTTTACCTTTTGGCCCAATACATCCGACTGTAGCCATCACCCTAAAAATGTCATCTTTTAATATATGCTCCTTATAGAAACAGTTAGTCTAACCCCCCACCCCACATTTTTTTCTCTCTCCTAAAATGGGGTCCGTGAACCCACACACAGAAAATGCCATGAATTATTCTGGGAACACCATTAGGTGACGGAAGCTGTGTTGCAGAAATAAATAGCAGAATAGGCCAAGCTAAGGCTGTGTTTCACAGTATGAAGAACACCTTGTGCAAACGGTCCCTCTCTTTAAATGTTCAAAACTTTCATAATAAAATGTTATATTGTTGGATGGTAGTGAATCATGGAATGTGAATGTACAAATCAGAAAGAACATGGCGGTGATGGAGATGCGGTTTCTCAAACGAATGTTAAGGATCCTTTGGACTGCCAGAGTAACTAATGAGGATTACTTGAAGAAAGCTAATGAAAGCAGATTAATACATCCAGCTAAAAGAAAAAAACAAGTACTGTTCTTTGGTCATGTGATTGGGGAGGGGGGGGGGATTTGAAGAATACTGTGACGACTGGGAAGATCAATGGTAGAATAGCGAATAGCAGACCAAGAGAGATGATGACGTATGGATTGTGACGGTGGCACGGAAGGATATCATCGGCGAAACTGATCCATGTATGAACGCCTACATCAGCTGGCAGGGCATGTGATGATGATGACCCCAATGTACCACACTGAGCAGTATAGATAATTATAGTAACAAATATAATTAAGTAAACAAGGTCCTATTTCCACACCTTCAGGTGTATTGGGTATATAATGTTAGCCCCATATATTTATGGACCTTCTTCTTCATTATTATTCTTAAAAATAACACACACAAAACTCACACTGGCAGATTACAATTTAACAAAAGAAATTAAACATTATGGGTGCAGTTAACATCCTACCTCCGAGATTAACTTTGGTAGCCAAAGCTTTTGCTCCAGAAGGCAAGTCTCCCAATATGCCTTTCTTCAGGGAAGATGATACAGTCACCTCGACAATACTGCCAACATGCAGCCCTTCATACATGGCCAGCTCATCTGTAACAGAACCATAATAAATCACAATAAAGCATAACTATTCTCAAAACCCATAATAAATCACAAAAAGCATAACAATTCTCAAAACCCCAGCTTTCATATACAGATAGCCCTTCAGTAACAGATAAATAACAGATCATGATACTTGTTGGATTCTAAAATAAAGGTCAATATATGAGCCATGATGATATGCGCAGACTGTCATGTTTCGTCACCTCAAACAATCATCAAACTAGATCAGGTCGTCCAGGTATTTATCTTTTATTGTTCGCTAATTCTCCTTTCATCATTCTTGCCAGGTGTAATTAGGTTCTCGAATCCATTCCTTCTCACATGTTTATTCGACGGATCAACATCCTGGCACAAGGGTGTAACCTGTAAGTGATCCCTTCTACTTCTAACTCAAGCCTGAATCTGAAGATTCTCAATGCAGTGAACGAACCCCATTGCACCAGCAAGGATCCTTAAATACTTTGGGTAAATTTAACTCAATTTTTTTTTTGCCCGGGCAGCGCTGTTAGACTACTCTTTTTAATTCCCAACTGCTAGGGGATTTTTTTTTACTTTTGCAAAAATACACACGGGTGCCCGATCTCACTACTCAGAAATCAAGGGAAATTTATAGAAGTCCATGGGAAAAAAATCCCAGCCTTTACCAGGGCCTGAACTCAGGACTTCCAGCACGAGGCAGACACCATTTCTCGAGACCACTCAGCCCCCATCATTCCCTAACATGTCTTAATAACTTTTGTCCTAATAAACATTTTTCATATACAATATTATGAGAGGCGCTGGTGGTCACCGGGTTCAGAGTTGAAGCTTTATCTCCTGATGGAACACAGACCTTGTGATTCCCAAGCATCCCTTTATTTAGCACAAAATAATACCATTGGAAGGACAGAAAGTTGCCAATAGCAACTTAGATAGTGTTTTTTTTTTTCTTCTGCAATCACGCTTAAGAAGGTAGTTGGTATACTGTGTTGTGTTTTACAGCTAAGATGTGATATCAGCATCATTCAGCCAACTACATATCTGATTTCAGCAAATCCTTTATTAGTCACCTTTTACAACATGCATGATAGGGAGCAGTGGCTGTACTGCCCCCCCCCCCAATTCAGGGACTCTGAAACCAAGTGTGATAAGAAAGAGAGAGTTCTTATGGATTCCAGAAACACACATCAAACTAAAAATATAAAGAGATAATTCACATTTTTGTAGAGATAACTTTGACAGAGTAAATACTAAAATCATTGTTTTGTCATTATGAATGTATATCTTCTTCTTCTTTAAGTCCATGCCGTGTGACGATGGTAGTCATGTCTATCCACAACCTTCTGACTCGTGTACTTTCAATCAACTCTTGACACAGATGATTTCAAACTGTTTAGCATCTTTTCTCTCGGTCACCCTTTGCCTCTCCTCTCCTCCAATTTTCCTACTGTCACGATGTACTCAGTTTTCTCCTAATTATATACTGTTGACATAAACAATGCACTGCACAATTTATTTACAGCCTAGCATATTTCATAGTATCTTGTACTACAGACTTGCATCAGATTTAATGAAGCACAAAAATGAATCCTTTCCACAGAAATACACCAATCAAATGTATCTAGTTACACTCTAGATCCCACCATCGGAAAATGAAAATTAGCCACACCATAACCATGACAATTTCAAATTGTAAATTTTAAAGTAAATACTCACCTTTTTCTGCAAACAGCTGTTTGTGTACTTGTTCTCTAGCAGACAGGTAAGTCGTCAATAAGGACAGAGGTGTTTCAATTCCCCCAACATGACAGTCATCTAAGCGGGCACTTCCCAGGAATCTTTTCTTTTCAGAGTCAATTTTAGTGATCCGGGTCATGACAGTCTGCCCTGGTCGAAACAACTCTTGCAGGTTCGAGGGCTGCAGGTAGGTCAGAGTCTGAAGATAACAAATTTTAGATGTATACCTAGACATATATACACAAAAATGTAATGTGTAAAAAGAATCCTGCAAATATATGCTAAACAAGATGAAACAAAGAAATGAGATGGAAAGTAAAATGTTCATCCCTAGCAAACATTATCATAGGAAGAAGATGAACATGGCTTTGACATCTTTGCAAAAGTTAAGGTGAAGGGCATATGATGTTGACCATATTAAACAGGACTGTCTTATTGCCATCTTATATAAAGTCGGCCATACTTTAAAGTTCACTTGGTCTATACATTACTGTGTATCCTTGTGGCAAAATTTAATGAATGCATTCAACAATTTCATGATCCTCGAGCACTAGGGTTTGATTTCCATCGCACAATGTTTTTTTTTTTCCATTTAGGCGCACCATCGAAAAGTGAGGTCTCATCATGTAACATTCTCAAAGACAGCAGTGAGTAGACTGTAGCCAACCTTTAGTATGGAGATGGCACATAATCTAGTTTATATGTTACTGATCATTGTAGGATACTGTCTGATTACTATTTTTAGTCCCTCAATATGTGCTGTGTTATGAAACTGACTCTAGATAATTAAAAAAAAATATTATTTACACAAGTAGATAAACAGTAAATGCAAATGGAAAATTTTAAAAAAAATGTCAACTTGATTTAGTTTTTGGATTTTAAAAGTTATCAAGTAATGTACATATATCTATTTTTTTTTTTTTTTTTTTGTATGGGACTGCATTTTGAAAACAGGAATAATAGATGTAAAACAATTACTAAACAAGATACCTTGGCAGGACACAGCCCAGTATGGCCACCAGCCAGCTCCAAAAACATGCCATAATCTTGGTGATTCTTTATAACCGCAGGCATCAGTGTACCAATCTAAGAAATAAAAGCAAATTAACATAGGTGCGTGATAATTCATACCAGTAACATGATGGTTATGATGAAACTGAGAAAGTAAATCACCCCCAAAAAAATGTATATGCCAGTCATTGCAATCGTCCTTTTTCACATTCACCAGCTGTAAACATTCTGGTCTTGTTCCAGAATTTGAGTTTTGCTTGCACATCCGTTTTATAGATCTGTATGTGTGTACACATCTCTGGTTCCTCACCTCTCGGGCAGAATAACTCTGACTTCAAAGGTAACATATCTGATTAGCTGCCTTTTATGTCATGCTTGTTAGAATGACACTGGGTCTATTATTCCCCCCCCCCCCCCCCAATGGGGCTCTGAAACCCACAAGGGATTTTGATCACAATCTTTTTCTTCTCTTTCTTTGTCAACCGGCTGGAAGCTTGGCGGAAAGTCTGGTTGTTCATCCATTTGTGCCAGGACTTGAGTTTTGCGTATACGTCTGTTTGGCTTATTTGTGTGCAGTTGGAAGTTCCTTGCCGCTCAGACAGATGCACTCCGACTTTTAAGAAAAGTCTCCAATTAGTCGACTCCTACGACATGCTTGCTGGGGAGGTAGTGGGTCTCATCTTGTTTCCCCAGTGATGGGAACTTGTTTCCCCCACAATGGGATCCTAGAACCCACGCGGGACGACATTGCAATAAACTGTTGTCACATCTCCCATATGAAATGCAAATTATTTTAAAAAAAACATAAAGTAAAGCACTCATTTCATGCCACTTGTGACATCGTGTATATGGTGTTAGACCCATGTGTGTGTACACCAACCAGCACTCAGTGGGTGATGTGACCAACATCCTGCTGGCTGCCTTTACTTCTCATGATATTTTCAGATGACCATTATTGGCTCTGTCAACCTGACAGTCTAGTCCGTTCATAAAACCTGTCATATAAACAGATTTGGTCCATTATTATTTTATCGCTGATGACATTTTACATCATTATTCTGGATGCAGATTCTTCTTATTATTCACCCTTATAATGCCAGCTGGCAAACTGTGCTGCAGTTCACAGCTGCGCTGAAATATGCACCTTTCAGCCTACATCTGATTTAAGCTAAGCCCTCAAAGTTACTTTTACAAAATGCTTGTTAGGGTGCAGGGCTTCTGTTTTTGCCTGCCATTTATTATGTTCACCTCTACTTACAACAACTAAAGAAAAACATCCCAATTCACACAACATACCTTCAGATCCTCAAAATGTTCAACTAGAGAATTGTCTTTGGCAGCTTGTATGAATGATTCTTTCATTGTCACAATCTTGAGTCAGTTAAAGTCAAATAAGTGTATAAAAGATTCTTCTATACACAAAGAATTTAATTTCTAATAGATTTGTGACTCCTTTACACAGCATCTAGTTTCTAATCAATCCGTGATCTCTATACACTAACATCTAATTCCTAATACATTTGTGATTTTCGTGTTTCTTGAATGACCACTCCCTTCCTCTTTCTGTCCATTCATGGTGCTCTTTGCCTTTTCCTGACACACATTTCTGATGCATTAGATGCTTTGACAATTGCCTGTTTTACACGCATACAACAGTTCTTCACAGGACACATGTTTTTCATTGCAAATGAGCCTTTTATTGGTGAATATACTGGCCGATATTTTTCATCTTGGAAAAAGTTACTTTTGCCATAATAATTCTTCATTTAATATCTACAAGGCAGCTTCCACAAAAAGTTACTGAAAATATTTTGTAACTGTTCCTCCATTAAAAAAATTTCCCAATGCATTTGATGTTGCACTTTGGTGTTTCATTCTTCCAAGACAGAGATTAAAAATGTCTGCTTTCTAACCATTCAACTCTTACTCTAGTGCATATCTACTAAGCAATGAGTATTTCCTATTTCCATCAGACTCTTTATCTTCTTTATGTTAAGTGTGATATGTACAGTTTTATTCTCTGTTGTGTTCGCAGTCTCCCTGATAAAAGATATTAAGTCCAAAACATCAGACATTTACAGAATATTTAACATAATTCTTCTTATGAGTTCATCCAGAAATGTAACTGTCTCGTGCCTTTCACCCAACGCATCTGACTTGTCAGGCATTTGTTGACTAGGTTAGCCTTCCTGGTTATAAACTTTTTTTCATGAAATAACTCATTCACAATATCTGTGATTTATCTTAAACTACCCGTGCAGCATGTTAGGTATGTACTTGTATTTATGCTTTTTAGTTCTCCGTAGTCTCAAAACACTCGTTTATTTAATTTCCTGTACCTAACAATAAAAATACAAATTAACTGTTCTTAGATATGACCACATTTTTTAGAATTCAACAAAAAAAAGGATACAGCTTTCTGTTTCTGGTTGAAGTAAATCACTTTATCAAGTTTCTGTCCTGGTTTGATAACAAGTTTTCTTAGCTCTTGAATCTCATGGAAATCAGAAAGATGACAGAACTGCAGGATGGCAACTGCTTTGGAGGGCTGTAAATAAACTTTAAAGCAATCCTTCTCCACTTTTAACACTGTTGCTTCCACTTCCTGTGTGAAGAAAAACATAATGTTTAAAAAAAGTAAATACACATGTTCTTCGCATTCACCAGCTGTAAATTACGGCGGAAAGTTCTGGTTATTCGTCAACCTCAGGACTTTAGTCTTCTTCCAGAATTTGAATGTTACATGTAAATCTGTTTAACACAGTGTTTAGAGCAACCTTCCTAATGCAGCCACCTAATACAGTTTCTCATTTTTGTGGCGACCCTTTAACACAGCTCCTCATGTTGTGGCAACACCCCACCATACCATTATTTTCATCGCCACTTCATAACTTCACTGAATATGTGTTTTGTGATGGTCTTTGGTGACCTCTGTGAAAGAGTCGTTCGATCCAAAAAAGGGTCTTAGCCCATAGGTTGAGAACCGCTTATTTAACAGTTCTGGATTATTTGTATGCAGATTGCTGGTTCCTTTCCTCGCAGGCAGATGCACATGACTTCAAAGGAAGCTCCCAGTTAGTCGACTCCTACGACATGCTTTTAGGTAAGCAGTGGGTTTATTCTTGTTTTCTCCACAATGGGAGCCCGGAATCCACACAAGGAATGTTTTATGTTCTTCTTCAGTGTTTGCCTTTAAAAGGGCCGTTGACACACTGCATTCTAGTTTTTTACAGCTAGGCTACATCTGCAACTTTCAACCCAGTGATGTAAAACAAATCCATAATTAGTCTCATTTTATTACATGCTATTAAGACGCAACAGTTCTACTTTGCCCCCCCCCCCCCCCTTTAAAAAAAAGGTCCTGAAACCCTCACAGGGCGTTTCATACAATTATAACTCGTTATTTATATAACTGCTCAACTGCTATCTCCATAATTATTGTGGTCTAGCAGCTAGATGCTCGCCCCGGACCAATAGGTTGTGGGTTCGGTCCTTGTAGGGGGGCCAAACTTTTTTCAAAAATGACTTTGCCTCACTGGTCGACCCAACTTTGAGTGGGTACCAGCTACAGTCCTGGGTAGTTAAGTCAACCAGTGTGATGCTGACCACATCACCTACCAAGTGCCGTAGGTCTATAAATTATAGGTCTAGCCCTATATACCCAATATGTGAAAGGCATGGAAAAGGGTCCTTTACTTTTTTTTATATAATTATTGAATAATTAGAAACATTATTGGCAGTATAAGATATCTTATCCCTGCCATTGCCAGTCCCAAACCTGGATGAAAAAGGAGGAAGGGCACTGAGACTAGACACCCCCCCCCCCCCCCCCCCGTAAAAGTCTCCCTTTTTTCCCGCAACAGAAACCTGCAGGGAAGGAGGCCATTCTGATAAACAAAGACAGAACAGACTGAAGGACATGCAATGTCACAACAGGACAATGATGATAGCTTAACAACAAAAGAAATGGTATGACAAAATCAGGTGAAGCTTTAAGACATGAACAAAACAGTTTCCAGTGAATTAAGTGTGGACAAGATGCCAGTGCTGATTGGGACACACTGAGAAAACCTGATAACTAAAATATTCTTTCACTGGAAGCTATAGGACAAAACAGACATAAAAACACATCGGGAAACTGGACAATAATATAGGAAGAACACTGACAGTTCTGCAGGAGAACTTTTCTTGACTTAAACTGGTTGAAGTCATGCTTCAATGACGGACAAAAGACAAAAGAAAAATAAGATGTCTCTGTTTCCACCAAGGTTTAACACTTTCAGCACCAGAAGGTTTAATATTAGATGACAAAATGAAGGGAAAAACCTATCATACAAAATAAAGTGGACAACAAACAGCGTAGAAGCCAGATTTCTTCAGTATCTTCCTCTTAACAAATATGAGAAAATTAACAGAGCACATTATGCTAAAGGGTCAAATCACAAGGCAGATTAATTAACTCATAAGGTGTTGCTTATGACTGAAAGAGTTTAACACTGCCTTTATCTGATATTATCTACAAAAAAGCAGGAATGGAATGGCTCTCAAATTGTTTTAAAGGTAAAGGTAAAGTCAGGAGATGTGAACTAGCGTCATTGCACAAGGTTATAAACCATAAGTGCTCTGCCACCAGTACGGACAGCTGATCAGAATTGTCCACCTGTGTCGCCGTTCGCACGTAACTCTGTAGCTACGACGACGTTCCTCCATTTACCCCAGAGTGTCAACTCTGGTACCCATTTTCTAGAGGCTGGGTAAACCCCGAGAGCCGCCCGGTTTCGAACACCGACCGTGGGCTACAGCGAGTCGCAACTGGATTTGAAAACGAGCCTCTTATCGACTGTGCTAACGCGGCCCGCAAGGTACAATGGAAATGAAACACTAAAGTGTCATAAAATATATTTTGGAAAGGCCACATGTTTGTGAAAAAAGAAAATGGACTTTATTTTAATTTTCCCCCATAGTTCTGGGGGAAATATGAATAGGCTCACTGCCTCCCCAAAAAGCATGTTGTAGGAGGCGACTTGCTTTCCTCACGATGGGGCCATGGAACCGACATGGAGAGGTTAGGAAACAAAATATTCTTCAGTGTAGGTTGGTCATATGCTTTATGTTAATGCCTGCACTCCACCTTTTGCTCTAATATGGCTTTAAGGTGGATACTGGCTTTTCTTATTCATCCAAAGAATTTAATAATAAAATGTAACCTACATTTTATTAAGCAACTCTGTTATCACTTCTTCTTCCTCAGCATTAATAATTGGTATATGACTTTTTTTTTTAAACACAGCTAAAGCTTAACAATGTGTAACTAACCTTTCCAAGTTTGAAGTCTGAGACAACATCCACACTTGCTTCTTCAACATCCTTGGGTTTCTTTGTACCAAACTGTTTCAATTTATGAAAGAAAACAAAGAAAAATTGTAGTGAAATGCAAACAGATACTACTTAAAATAATGTGGACATATACAATACATTGCTTGCACAACTTACTGCCTTGCATTATTTCACTGTATCTGGTCATGAGAGTTACAAGAGTTGTATCAGCATATAATGTTTGATAGATTGTTTTAGTATCCAGAAGCCATGAAGAATTTTTCCTTAGGCTCGGTATTATGGACATCGAAAACCTTTCAGCCTTGATTCCATTGTAAATACCGTAAATCTGGGAGAAAATGTGGCTTTTCTACCTACCCCCGGGAGTGAACCCGGACCACAAGGAGTTCGTCACCCGGTCACCGCGCAATCCGGTTTAGCCAACTACGATAGAGAGCCAGGAATCAGCATATAATAAAGCACAAAAGTGAATCCTTTTCAGTGAAATCCATAAATCACAAAATCTCTAGTTAGACTGTAAATCTGACCACCATATTACACACGTCTGGGAAGAGAGAGAAAACATTCTAATTTACAATGTAAGTCAGTAAAGGACCCTTTTCCTCACCCTCATGTGTACTGGGCACACAGAGCTAGACCTATATTTTATAGACCAAATGGCACTTGGTTGTGGTCAACAGAATACTGATAGCTTTTCCTTTCCAGGACTCAGCCTGGTACCCATTTAAGGCTGGTTCAACCTGGCAGCCAAAGTCCTGTGAGTGATGTGGTCAGCATCATGACGACCACCTTTATCAATTTATTTTTTAAAGTCCAGCTCCGCCAGGACCCGAACCCAGGACTTTTTAATCATTAGGTGAGCAACTAGCTGTAGCAGCTCCCAAAACTAATATAAAATATCCAAAGAAAGTAATTGTCACTGACAATATTAATTCACTTATTCCATACATAAAAGCAACAACAACAAATAAATGCAGGATCACAGTCCAAATTTTAAGACATCATTATGACATACTCACATTGAATGATACCCGGAGTTTCTTGTCATCAACATTGTAGCTGACAACACGGCACCGAACCACCTGACCAATGTAAAACATCGTGGAGGGGCTGTCTACTTTCTCCATGCCCATGTCCTTTAACCTGACCACACCCTAGGAAAGACAACAGCAAGAATTTGTATCTATGATGGTCATCATCATCATGTGCCCTGCCAACTGGCGTAGGCGCTCATGTGTCTCCACAGATCATAATTCTATGACAGTAATTGATAACATTACAAGAGGGCTTTAAATTAAAACCTTACAAGTGTGATAGAAATTAGAGTAACCATGCTATTGTCCTGTAACCTGCCAATATTGTTTTTAAGGATTTCAAGAGTGCTAAGCATGTTCATCATGGTGCAGACGAACATGGTGATACCATAATGCAGTTTAGAGAAGGTCGTTCCACTTTTGACATGCATATCCCCCCCCCCAAAATGAATAACAAAACACTGCTCCTCTCAGGTATACAAATGAACTGTCTGACATAGCAGCATTTCCCACACAAAAAAATTTAATCTACTCAAAAAATGTAATATTTTACAGTATATGTGAATTCCAGAGTGTACATACTTCTCACCACTACTACAGAGTTTGAGGAAAGATATAAAACTGAATGAAAAGTAGATCAGCGAGTTTCACAAACACAAAGGACATGAGTTCAAGAAGAGCTGAAAACATTCTGGTATCTTCTTCTTCTGCGTTCATATGAAGATGCAATTGTGTTGTGTCCGTTTACAGCATGGCTGCGATATTTGCACCTTTCGGCCTAAACATCTTTCTGCGGGCATTTGTTGACTGGGTTAGCCTTCCCGGTACATACTGGTATGAAATTATGCTGTAACATGCAGAACTCAAGGATACTTTCACAGCTCAGTAAGAATAGTAAATTAATCACAAAAATGGTAAGGGGAGAAGTGTCTCTGCTGTGATATAAACAATTTGCTTCACGGTCTAAAGGTAGCTTTTCCTTCTTCTTATAAGGGCAGACGACACATTCTGTTATGCTTTACAGAAAGGCTGCAATATTTGTGCATTTTAGCCCAACACCTATGATTTCAGAAAATCCTTCATCGGTGTCACCTTTTACAACATGCTTGGGGGGGGGGGCGCGCCTGCGTGGTCACAAGGCATGATGCGTCCGCCTTGAGTGCTAAAGATTCCGGGTTCAATCTCCAGTAAGAGCTGGGATTTTTTCACATGGACTTGGATTTCTAGTAATTCCCCCTTGTTTCTGGGTAGTGAGATGGGACACCCGTGTGCATTGTTGCGCACACACACAAAATCCCTTGGCAGTAGGAAATCGAAAAAGTAGCAACATTCTGAGTTTAAAATCTACCCGAAGTATTTCAGGATTCTAACCGGTGCTACAGAGCCTGTGCACTAGTGTTGCTGAGCTTCTTCAGACTCAGACTTGAGTTAGAAGAATGGGAGCACCTGTGTGCCATGATGTTGATCGGTTGCTCAAACTTCAAACCTTACGAAATGCTTGTTTAAAGGCAGTGGGTCTGTACTTTCTTTTTTTTCCCCAAAACCTACAAAGGGAGTTGAGGTTTCAGTTTTAGACTTTATTCTTTGTTTACAAGTGCAAGTGTTGAGGAGATCTCTTAAACAGCAGAACTTTGATGCAGTGCTCATAGAGTCAAAGACCTCTGATGCACAGACAGAAATGAGGGATTAAAAACCTAGTGCAATGAAATCAAATCCTCTTGCCGTTCAACAATCTGTACCTGAAATAATATTTTTCTCACTATCAAAATGTTTTTAAACTCACCTTAACATCATTGAAGAAAGAAACAATGACAACGGTGTCCTTCACTGCCACAATGTACCCTTCCAGCTCCATGTTTGGCCGTAGTTGAGAGTAGTCAGTCACCAGTGGATACTTTGATTTCAGCAAGGACTGCTTGTGGGTAAGCATGACTTTCGAATGTGTGAGGTCCACTTTCAGAACCTAATTAAGACATCAAGCAGAAGCATGCTATTTTGGCAACATAAGAAATGACTTTTAAGGACAATATCCTAACATAAGATCATGTACACTACTGGCCTACAAGATCACATATAAAACAAATTATACTGCAAAAACATATGCAAGCTACACAGCAAAACAAACTAACTCAAATTTGCTGCAACAACCATGTCTAAAATTTATTTATTTTAGTCAGAGAGCAGATGAGTTGGCAAAAGCTGGGAGTAATCTTCCACAACCTCATCCACCACACAGCTACAAGGAAACCAAAACAGCGCTAAAGCAGTCTTTCAAGCGGGAGTGGAGAAGGCAGAATGGAGATTACAGACCAGAGAGTGACATCATAAACAAACTCAACAGGAAAGAACAAACATCAATTTTTAGACTTCGGACTGGACACTGTGGTCTTCGAGCACACCTGTACATAGGCATAAAAGAATCTGCTGCCTGTGATTGTGGAGCAGAAAGACAAACCCCTGAGCACACACTGCAGTACTGCCCTTACCTCTCCCAGCAAAGACTGTGGATCTGGCCCAAGGGAGCCACATTGCAAGAGAAGCTATGGGGGACCGGTGGCGACCTTAAATGCACAATCCTATTTGTGACCCAGACGGGACTTTAGCATGACTGATGTTGAACGCAGAAGAAGAGGAAGAAAAAGTCAGGTCAACAGTTTTAACTAATAAGTAGGCCTATGATGTCTAGAACGTCCTTCTATCTCGCTATTTCTTTCTGCCAATCAATAAATAGCTATTTGTGTATTATATATATAAAAAAAAAAATTTTTTTTATCAAGAATTGCTCAACAAAACTAAAATTTAACTACTGAAAAGATTCAGTTAACATCTAAACTACATTTTGAAAACAAGCTACCTCATCTTGAAAATCTGTCTCATTCACAGTCTCAGCATTCTATGTGCTGCAGGGATAAATGTCTGGCATTCCTTTATCTAGTTTGTATAGTATATTCCCTCATGTTCTCGCACATTTTGTTCTATAAAAGCTCTTCAAGTCCTTATTTTCTATTACATATTTCCTGTTCCATGCTGACACTGTCATTCGTTTAGCTAGCATGCTGAATAAGACTCTCTGGCCAAAATGTTCAGTTGGATTTGTGTCTTTTCTTTTCTATGTCCATCATGCCTTTCCTCTGAGTGTTAGGCAGACCCTCTGGTAACTCGTTGCTGCATCACTCTCTTGAGCCTGTGACACTGACATGACTTTCTTCCCCACCAGGACATCACACAAGCGATAAACATCCCATGAGACAATGTGCCACCATGTGGGAGAGGATCACTGTGGAGAGGTTCCAGAAACCGTGTTCGGCCATTAGGCTATATTTATGGCCAGGCTATATTGCGGCCCCTGGCAAGAGCTAGGGTAGGACTTCAAATAACGAAAAATGTCATCCTAAAGAGGACGGGAACTATAAACATCTTGAGCCTGTAATAAGCTATTTGTGCTTTTGAACTGTTCACTTGCCTCCAAAGGACCTCGACAAGAAAGAACAAATAAAAGATCTAACTGCATGTAATAGAATGAGATAAACAAGAAAAGCTTTAGCTTGTTTCTAAGCAACCACAACTACTTACACGACATTTAATTTCCTTCCCAGCTTCAAACTTTTTCTCTGGGTGTTTGATCGGTACATCAGCCAGATGCAAGCATGAAATAAAGGAATAAATGCCCTTTGACAGTTTTACCACAACTCCATTTGGCAGCACCTCCTTGATAGTTCCCTTAAAATAAATTACATTTAATGGTGAAAACTAAATAATGTGCAAAGAAAGATAAAAAAAAACAAGGAAACAGAACAGAAAATATAAACAAACTGCTAGCTGTTGTTCACTCACATTACAATACTCCAACTATGTAAGTTGAGTCCAATTCTGCAGGTAGTCTTCTAGACAGTGAATAAGATAGTCTCATGACAGTCCTTCTTCGAAAAGGCTAGTAGGTTATAGTATTACTATTTTTACTATTTTAGGCTCCCCTGCAGAACCCAGTAATAATCTGACATTGTTTCTTTTTGCCAGTAACCAGTCATCTATTTGCACACTGCACCAAGTCACAAAAGTCTTTTCTAAATCGGCTGTTGCAGAAAGTCACAGTCGTTAGTTTAGAACAAGTATAAAAATTTAAGTATTTAAGTCCACAGATTACATCCGAACAAAGATTGTTCAGAGACACAGAAGAGAGCAGGACAGTCTGAAACTGTATTTTATAATATTCCCATTAATCAATAAAACATGTACAATAAAAAACATCACAATGACTTTTATACCAAATTTAGGAATTAATATTTTGTTTAAAGAAAATATATCTCATTAATGTAATTGTCTTTAAATGCCAGCCATGAATCACACTACAATCAAATCTATCAAAACATCAATATGTCAATAACTGACTACTAGAATACATTTAAACTGACCCTAATAACATCCCCTGGTGAGATTTCTTGGATAGAGAGAAACTTCTGCTGCAGAATACTCCTAAGGAAAAAATTACCAAAAGAATGTGATATTTTAACAAGTAAAGTAAGTAGGTTACAAACAAATTCACAAAAGTCACAAGCATGCACATGCTAATTCTTCTTCTTCAGCAGTCTCTGGTCATGCAACTTATCTACTGCATTCCATTAAAACTGAGATGTTAGCTTGAGATCTTTTAGGTTTCACCAAAACTTAACTGTCATGTCCACTTGGTGTGACCATTTTGTGCAGCTCCTTCAGTAGAGGTCAGTTCTGCAGGACATAATCTGAGTTCTGTTCAGCATGAAGACACTGGCAAGGAGCTGTCAATCAATCAACCATTTAACGTTGACCACTTTCAGCTAGGGCCAGAAAACACTGCTGCTCTCTGCCCTGTCCGTTATATTCGTGGTGGCGTTTTTAGTCCCCATCTCATCTGGTTTTAGAAGAAGTCTGGTTCAGATTTAATTTATGAATGTTTGCTGAGCCCGCAACATCAGCACATGTTACTTTACATCTCTAGTATATATTACTAACATGCCTTCCTGTGTGGGTCCTGGGGCCCTATTATAGGGAAAACAAGAACAGACCCACTGCCTACCCAAAAGTATGTCGACTAATTGGGAGCTTCCTTCGAAGTCGGAGTGCATCTGCCTGAGAGGCAAGGAAACAACAGTCTGCACACAAATTAGTCAGATCTGTCAAACGGACGCACATGCAACACTCAGTTTCTGGAACAGGACTGCAGTCTCCAGAAGTGGACGAACAACCAGAACTTTCAACCAGAGTTTACAGCTGGTGAATGCGAAGAAGACTAACATGTCATCCAAGTTTGGAAACCAGGCTATTCTATTCATACTTTATCTAATTTGCTTTACAAACTTTTCACTTATCTTCAACCACCTATTTTAAATACTCTTGTTACAAATATAAATAATGTATCTTTATACAGATCATGCAATATAATCCAGTAATAAGTATAAGTAATGAGCAAAGACTCACTGTTTCAGAGTCACCAGTGCCACACATTCCATAAAGTTGAAGCTCAATACTCGACACTGACAAATCATGCCCTTCTCAAATTTACTGATATCTGGATTCTCCTGGTCACTTAGTTGTTTGACCTGGGATATACATAAAATTAAAAAAAAATAAAAATGAGCTGCAATTAAGAAAAGACTAGTTATCACACCGTTTCTCAAAAACACACATGTAATCCTGACATAAGACACAGAGGTTGAACATTTCATCAATCATACACCTGGCAAACTATACAAGGCTAATGAGACATATATAATACTACTGTATATGAATTAACTTACTGTTGCAAATCCTTTCACATTCCCGGGCAGTTTGAAATAAACACCTTTCTTTTTGGCAACAAAAATGACAGTGCCTTCAATAATGCTGCCGATGTTCAAGTCACCAAACAGTTGCAACGGGCTGCCGTTAAACTGAATCAGCTCTGGCAATGCTGACAGATGAATCATTTTGGTTACAGGATGGATGTACAATATTCTCAACTGAATCTGGCAGATAAGAAACAAACAAAAAAGAGTTTACTAAAATATCTGATATTATTCCATTCTGATCACCATTTTTTTTAAACATCTTCATCTAATATTTTTTTGGGCCAGTCATAACTCTATTGTGTCTGTTTACAGCAGAGCAACTGTGATTAACGACTTTCTCCCAACATATCAACTTTCTTCAATTCTTTTATTGAGCATTTTCTTCTTTTTCACATTCAATGGCTGCATAAATGCTGGGGAAAACGTTGTTGGTCCACTAAAGCCACTAATCTTTTTTCAGAACTTCAGTGTTGCATGTACATCTGTTTTACAGATCTGGCTTAACTGTATGCAGGCTGCTAGTCCCTCGTCTCACAGACGGATGCACTCCAACTTTGAAAGAAACAACTATAATTAGCTGCCTTTTATGACATGCTTGACAGGGAGTAGTGGGTCTATTCTTTTCTTCTCCTCTAAAACTGGGTTTTGGAACTTATGCAAGAGAGAGAGAGAGAGAGAGAGAGAGAGAGAGAGAGAGAGAGAGAGGGGGGGGGGGGGGGGGGGGGGGGGGGGGGGCTATTTTCACACAAATAGTCTTCCTTTTGCTCTTTTCTCTTAACAAGCCCACATATTTTTACACACTGTTATAATAGTAATTTCTCTAATCACTCCAGCATTTGGCTGACGCCCCTTAGAAATTACATAAAGTTCTTATACAGACAGCAATACAGACTCCATTTGAAACTACTAATGCTTGTCCTCCCACTGCAATAGAGTGGCATATAGTGGTGTGTTTTTTTCTCACCTTTCATACAGGTAGAAAAATCCTATAAAATATAAAGATGTGGCTACTTCTGTTAAATTAATTTGGCACAATTAGTATTTTTTTAAAAACACTGACGGTGCAACACTATTCTATTCGTAATCTGTTCAAACAGGAAAGCTAAAGCAGCAAACTCAAATACGACTTACCTCTTCTCCAACTTGATACTGGCTGCCAGCTCTAGGCAGCTGTGAACTGTGAACCATACCCTTGAAGCTGAACACTGTCACATGCAAGCCACTGTCTGTTATCTGTGTAAAGACAAAAAACAGCATAATCGTAGAACCAGTCAATGTGCTGGCTGGTTTCCTTCATCATTCATTTTCACGACTCTGCAGACTAAGCCACTTTCATTTTATATTATTAATGGACATGTATCCTGAAAAGTTAACTTACAAAGAACTGAGTGAGGAATAATGAGAAAATAGAATATGTTGTAAGGGTGAAGGAGAGGAAAGACAGGAGAGATCAAAGGAGAAGATATTCGGTAATTTGGTATCTTCGCATGAAATAACAGAAATGATCAGCAGTATGTGAGACAAAAGACTGCAGACAGACAGCTAGCACCGCATACCATGCATTATAAGACAAGAGAAGAAGTAGACCAGCCATAGCTTCTTTGTCCTGTATTTTTTTTAATTTATTTTTATTCCTGGCCAGAATTGCAGTTGCCTGGGAAAACTGATAAACATTAAATGGAATGAATTCAAGAAAAAAGGAGAAATTGCTTGGACAATTACTGGTATCAACCACGATAGTGGGCACATTCTGAGAAGAAGCAGGTAAAGAATGAACAAACATGCACTGAAATGGGAAACAAATGGATTGAAGAAATAAGTATGTTTAAAAGAAACCCTAAAATAAATGGCGACAAGAGAGGCCATATGTGCCGGATATGATTTCATTCATGATGTCAAAAAAACTGCACAGGACAGAATGGAATAACTGCAAGCCCTAGGTGACATACGATGGCACAACAGGAGGGTATTTCAATTATATATGTTGACGGTAGGGCTGCAATTTGGCAAACATAATTGATGTTTCCCATCAAATGCTAACCACATTTGCATACCCAGAGCTTCATTTGGCATTCCATTGTTTCAGTATGATCATATCACCTATGCCCACTCATCTAAAGGGGGTGGACAACAAGCCTGTTCAGAATAGCTACAAATGTCACTCAACTCTAAGGGAAGGCAACAGCAATAAACAGACACTTCCCAAAAGAGGTTTTTATGTATAAGCAAAGCCTACATGCTCTTGCTCTGGACTTGCCCAGGGAACCATCACACTCTGCTCATGTAAGCTTCATTTTCTTATACTTTCTATATGATTTACATTGTTGCAGCATGCAGCCAATACTTGCAGTGACTCAACAAAATGAGAAATGTTTCTAGTGAGAGAGATGAGGCACCCAAATAACCTGCAATGTAGGTGTTGAACACCTATTTCCATTTGTCAAATTTTAGTGTTTATCAAATGTTTCATCAAATATAACTGTGGGAAATTATGCTGCACATCATACACGAATTTCTAAATTACCAGAAAAAAGTGTGCTAAATAAAGCAAAACCTCTTTTCAAGGCTTTAAAATAAACAGTGGCCCCTCCGACTTTAAAAACTTCAAGACCTTTTGTAATCAAATCAAACCACTCAAGGTTGGGTCAACCTGGAAGCCAAGGTCATTTTGGAGAAAAAAAATCCGGCCCTCATCAGAAATAGAACCCACGATCTTTTGATCCGCAGCCGAGCGTCTAGCCACTAGACCCTGGCGGTTCCCACGAATTCATTGAAGGCACATGAAAATACAGGTAATTAACAAGGTGTTTTGCTGAACCCTGCATGTAGCCATTTATACACAAAACTGAACTATTAGAAAACTAACTCATGTGAAGCTTTACAAACATTCAAGAAAAAGAAGAGAAAACATTTAAAAAAAGAGAAAACAATCTTACATAAGAATGCATAAGTAAACCAACTTACACTCTGAACTCGGCCAGTCACGTTCATTCCTGGAACAACAGAGTACAGATTGGATGTCTCTTTCACCTGAATAAAAGAAAAATAGTTTAGTTACAGAATCAGTTTGTTCATTCTAAAATGAAACGAGGAAACCAAAATAAAGAAAACCTGGTGACGCCTACAGTAAAGCAGCACAGTGAATGTGACATTCTACATGAAAAAAAACTAACCAAAAAAATACCCAAAGCTCCTTGTCCTTCCTTGTTTGTCCTTAAAAGGGAGCTGACACAATGTTTCCTTTACAGACAGGCTGCGAGATCTGCACCTTTTGGTCCAACATATTCAATTTCAGCAAAGCCTTAGTCACCTTTTACTGCATGCTTGTTCCCCGCCTTGGAACCCCCATTCTCCAAAGTTGACAGCTGTGGAAGTGCAGCCTTGTCAGTCCTGATAGTCATGGAAGTGGGGATCTATTTTTAAAATCAACCCAAGTTGGCCAAATCTAAAACGAGTACCAGAAAATGATTACCCTAAATCTGATTTTAGGGTAACAATTTCAAAGGCTTACAGAATTTAACAACAAACCAGCTTTGGGACAGAAGTTAAAGTAACAATTGAGATACAATGGGTTAATATAACAGAAGAATTGGCAAGCAAAGAAATGTATATCTTAATCAATGTACCCACTGGGAGTTCTCAAGTAGAGAAAGAGTTATTTTTTATATATATATATATATATATATATATATATATATATATATATATATATATATATATATATATATATATGGTGCTAGCACCATATACCTAAAAAAAAAATATGCAAAAAAAGTTCTTTATGACCCTAAAAAGGTGTACTCAATAATGACTGACCTTGGCCTGTTGAACTATGTCAGGATCAATGGTTACGTTGACTGCTCGACTTTCACCTGCTTTAAAAGCAGAGCTGTCCTTCATCTTGAGGACACACCACAAAGGATAACCAACACAGAGAGGGGATCCTGTAAACAGGCAAAGAGATAAAACAAGTACATAACATCACATAAATAAACTCTCAGCATTTATGTTTTAAAAAATTACAATTTTAATAAGTAACTCTTCTTCTTCTTCGTGTTCTCAGGCTTTTCGCTCACTTATGGACTCTAGCCCTGTTTCAGGTTCACAGGTCTGACTCATTTGCAAGCAAAATGTTGGTTTTTTGCCTCTCCAGCAAAGGGTAATCTTACTTCACAGGAAGCTCCCATTTAGTAAACTTTTATGACATGCTTTTCTGCAGGCAGTGGGTCTATTCTTGTTTTCCCATAATAGGGCACCGGAACCCACATGTCGAGATGTAAGAACTAAATCAGTCACTAGATAATCATCATCATCATGTAGAGGGTCCTTTGTCACATTCATAATAACCAGCCTAATAGTCTCTTACCAGCTCTTCCATCTCAAGGAGTCTTAGATACTGATTAAAAATAGTATTCAAGAAAGTAAGCCCACACAAATGTTTCTCCCCAAGGCTCACTTCATGACCTCTCTAGATAGGAACAGTGTATTATCTTTAGACTAAGAACAGGGTGTGACAGATTTCACCAATATGTAAAAAATTGTCAGCGTAGGATACACAGAGATGTCTTGTAAACTGGCACCCAGAAATGCTGAACAAGACGCAAGACGGTACCGCAGTTTTTCTACTAAGAATAAGACACTGCAGATTTGAGCACACATGTAGAGAATGAGGACCCAGTGTCCCTGTTAAACTGCACTTCAAACACCCCAGCACTTAATGCAGAACTGCCCCCTACAGCGAAACCTGGGAGAAAACACGGCCAAGATGGAAGAGGCATCTAGGACACACTTTGAGGAACCCTTGCAGACTTGCTGCTGATCAGCAAGCTCATGGAAGCAACACAACTGATAATATGAACATATGAAATCGGTCGAAGTACGACACTGTAAACTCTATGCTGCTGCCAGAGAAGCCACCTGTTTCTACATCAATCAAGACAAAGCTGACTTTTATACATGGAGATCTGCACTGCACAATCTACTGGCCTCCTAATATACATTTTCTGAGAGATGGATCAATAAAGAACACTAAACAGAACATTTTAATAAATGGTTAGCAGCTTGTCTGTCAAATAAATGTTGACATATTACATAAACAATTAAATGTGCAATAGTTTAATAATAAATTGACAGTGAGGAACCAGTAGTCTGCAAATAAGACAGATCTATAAGACAGACATGCCCTCAAATCTTAATTGCTGGAAGACTTTACAAAATACAGAAGTGGATGAACAACCAAGATTTTCTGCTGGAGTCTACAGCTGGTGAACGTAAAGAAGAAAAAAACTGACATGGCCGACTACCTTGATTGTGCTTCTGGATAAAACTGCTAGCATCATTTGTTGTAAGGAAAGCTTGCAGGCCTTTGATTCCCAAATCCACTTTATACCCATGATCCTCAATGCTTGAAACACTCCCAAACACAAGCTGGAAAACAAATACTCATTTAAAGCAATCATTTTCAGTATGCCTTCTAAATGGCTGGCTCTTGATACCAACGTGAGGCAGTCTGCTGCCAAGTTGCCGGCAGCACCAAGGAATTGCAAAGCACGCTTGAAATGCTTAAGCCAGTGGCACCACCTAAATGTCTCAAACCCATAGAAAAATATTACCCATTACAATATCTGAGTTAATATGGCAGTTATAATTTATTAGTCTTTGGATATTCCTCATCATCATCAGGTATTAGGCTGGATAAACCCGTATGCACGTACCACTTTTCAGGGCGATGTAGGGCAGGGTGTTTTAAGTCCAAGGATTCAGACATACATGGCCAGTACAGGTTAAGATGTCTTATTTATTTGTGGTTTGCTTTATAATATGATCAGCATTTCTTCTTCTTTAAGTTCACGAGTTGTAAATGCTGGTGGAAAGTTCTGGTTGTATCGTCCACCTCTGGACAGTAGTCTTGTTCCAGAAACTGATTACCGTGTGCACATCAATTTTACAGACCTGATGAATTTGCATGCAAACTGTTGGCTCCTTGTCTCTCCGGCTGATGCTATCTAACTTCGAAGGAAGGCCGCTATTAGTCGACTCTCCTAACATGCAGGTTGGGAAGACAGTGGGTCTATTCTTTCTTATTTTTTTTGAACCCCTACAATAGAAGATCAGTATTTGTCAATCCACACATGTTATTTTTCACTTTTTTCTCAGAAACCACACATCTGCGGCCATTTGATTTTTTTTCTTCAGATTTTACTTACAGGTCACATTTTACATACAGGTTCTACACAGCACTTTAACATTTGTGTTCTCACTATGCTGACCTACATACTACACCGTCTTTTACTGGCATTGTTTTTTTTTTCCCAAAAGACTACATTTGCGTCCAAAAGCGTCAAGTGGCAGATGTTATGTATCCTGGCCTCACTGAAAAAATCTCCATGACTCATCCTGGCTGCACAGACCTAACATATTTGTAAATAGCTAAAAAATCAACATAAATGCTCTACATTTTGCAGCTGTGCATAGTATCTGATCTACATTTACTTCTGTTCATACTCACCATGCCGTTTTCAATTGCCTTCAAGGGAACGTTAGCATTGATAACTGATGGAACAATAGATAACTTAATGAAATTTTTGTTTCTTTGTTTGTCATTTGTAATCTCTGTGATCACAACTGGAAGCAACATTCCTTTCTTGAACAGTTCATCTGTAGACTTGACTTCCTAGGATTTGAAAAAAAACATTTAAGAACATTTATGAAAATCTTAACATTCTTTAAAATACATGTATTTTATTTTGAACATTACCAATTAACAAATGGAAGATTTACATTAAGCAAATTATTTTTATTGAGACAAAAATTCATCTGTTTCAGTGACTTCTTTTTGCTCTTAGCATTTACCGGTCGTAAACTCTAGTGGAAAGTTCGAGCTGTTTGCCATGTCTTGACTTTGGTGTTGTTCCAAAACTTAGTTTTGCACATGCATCCATTTTACTGACTGTTGATTCCTGGCCTCAGGCAGATGCACCCAGCTTTTGAAAAAAGCTTCCCTAGAAGCAGGGGGGTCTATTCTTTTCCCCTTAGAGTGGTGTCCTGGAACCCACATGGGTTTCAGTGGTTCATGTTGCTGTTCTTCAATCACAAAATAAATTTTAGGAGCAGCTACAATTATTATAAAGACAGCAATAGTTTACTTTTAATAATAATAATCACTGCCTAGTCATGTGACAAGTATTAGCTGCACCTTGCCTTCCTCCTGAACCTGGACTTACACCTTCTTTTAAAGCAGTGTAGGACTTCACTAACATTTTCACGCTGTTTTTGTCCAGTGAAATCTTCTTTTATTAACAGTATGTATGTGCAAATGATTTTTTATCACAATCCTTTCCCATGTCCAGATCTGAATTTTGTAGGAATGACATCTCAAGGATGAGAATCGAACATCTACTATTCTTGGGAAACCCCACAGCAGTTATACTGGGGAAACCACAAAATAGTTATGAAGCTACTTGTAGTCTAGAGTTGGTGGGTTTCTTGGTCATACTGCTTATTTTAATAGCTACTAGCACAGCGTTTGTCATCTTGTTACATTATTATAGACAGTTACACTTATGTGATTAGACTTGTTGCATAATTATAGCCAGTTACAATAATGTGACTAGACTTTTACATAATTATAGTCAGTTACAATAATGTGACTATACCTTTACATAATTAGTCAGTTACATTAATGTGACTAGAAAGGAAAATTAAGGTTTCACTCTGACCTCACTCTTGTCTGGGTCCTCACTGTGTGCCAGAGACTGCAGCAGCTGTGAGTAGGAGGCAGAAATATCAGTGATGGAAAGTGTGCCAACAACATTGCCAGGCAAGGACATGGAGACACTGTAGTCATGGGTCTGCCTTACACAGGCTAGCACACAGATGTCAGTAGCCAAATCCTGGTGAGAAACACAAATATGTTACACTTAAGAGTTTAAATAACAAATGTTATTAGTGATGAAATAAAAAACAAAGTGTTATTAAGAAATTTAAATAAGCTTCCCAATCTTTTACTACACATCATTATTTTCTTTCTTCTTCTTTGTGTACACCAGATGTAAACTCTGACAGAAAGTTCTGGTTGTTCATCCACTTCTGGATTGCAGTCCTGTCCCAGAACCTGAGTTTCGCACGTGCATCCGCTCTACAGATCTGACTCATTTGTATGCAGACTGCTGGTTCCTTGCCTCTCAGGCAGATGCACTCCGACTTCGAAGAAAGCTCCCAATTAGTTGACCCTTACAACATGCTTTTGGGCAGGCAATGGGTCTATTCTTGTTTTGCCTAAAATAGGGCCCCGGTACCCACACAGGGAAACACATCATTATAATCCTTCATGTGACATTAGATGCAAGATAAGACTTGCATTCTCTTCTTGTATTTCCTCTCTACTGCATGCAACTCTCTCAATTTCTGACACAGAGTTCTGCCAAGCGTTTTTAGCTTCTCGTAATGATGTTCCTCTTAATGTTTGCTTTGGATGTCTCTTTTTCTCAGCTGTTTGTTTCCCATTTAAGTGCTTGTTTTGTAATTCTTTGCTCATTTCATCTCAGGGTATTCACTACACATAATGTGAGAATAGTGCAGAAGATAAAGGGATATAACTCTGGCTTATAAGCTGGGGCGATTCAAGAGATTAACTGATTCACTCCAGCAAGGCTTTAAAAACGGGCCATGAACCCAAGAATTCCGAAAAAATCCTTGATTAAAAAAAAGTATTTTACAAAGGACACTAGTCAATTTTCTTTAAACTTACTTTTCTTTTTCACAAAATATATAAAGGTCAGGAAGTAATTAATCAGGAACGGATGGAAGCATTGAAACTAAATATTTCCCCGGTGGCTACAAAAATATTATTAAGTGACCAATACCTTGACCTTGTTGGAATCCTAACACTAAAGTTCAACTGTAATTTACATAAAATATCTCTTCCATACACACAAAAGAAAATAAAGCTACAGACATTAAAAACCTTTGTATACAGGTTTTACTCTTGATTACCGAACTGCCTTACCTGACGTAGTGGAACGTCCACCAGCTGATGTATGTCTCTTTTTGGTCGTTTAGAAAGCTTTGGTTTTTCAGGACTGGTAAAGTCAGCAAGTTTTCTTTTCCTAGATATCAGCTTTGGAGGCTTTTCCACTTTAGCAGACTTGCCTCTAGAAGGAACCTGTTTCTGATGAAGAAGACGATAAAGTGATTTTATTTTAAAATAACCATCATCTGTAAAATAGACAAGATATTTGAAAGAGAAAGAATGCCCTTACAACATTTCTGAATTAACTGGAGCCACAAAGTTACTTGCTTAACAGGTAGTTTGGGATCAATCGCAGAAGTAGCAGCATTCTACTTTCCTACCAGTTCTCAACAGTCACCAGTTGTAAACTTTGGCAAAAAGATCTGGTTCATCCACGTCTGGACTCCATTTTAGATATCTGGCTTATTTGTGTTATTTTCTATATATGACTATTCTTCTTCACCAGCTGTAAACCCTGGCGGAAAGTTCTGGTTGTTCATCCACTACTGGACTGCAGTCCTGTTCCAGAACCTGAGTGTTGTGTCAGCCGTTTTATAGATCTGTTTTATCTGTATGCAGACTGCTGGTTTCTTGCCTCTCAGGCAGATGCACTCTGACTTTAAAGGAAGCTCCCATGTAAGTCGACTCTTATGACATGCTTCTGAGTAGGCAGTGGGTCTATTCTTGTGTTCCCTATAACAAGGCTCCGGAACACACATGGGGAATATATGACTATTTAAAGGTAGACACGCATGGAGGTCTGCGGCAGGTCTTTGACAATAACACTGGTCCACAAGCTTTATCTAATTAGGAATAACAACTCTAGTGTATCAATCATCTGTTGTCCACATTGCCATAAAAAAAGTTTCAGTCTCTCCTCGGTCCGCATCATCATTATCTGAGTACTCATATATCACCAAATCTCAGTAGAAGATAAATGTGACCTGCATCCTCTATGATGAAAAACCACACAAATAAAAGCGTTTTAATTTAATAAATGATTCAAGCATCATACAACATTCATACCATACAAAGCATAGATGGAAAGAGAAGAAGGACGTAGAGCACGGAGTAGACCAAGAACAAGATTGAAGGATAACAGCAGAGAAACTCTACAACAGCACGATGGTCGAGGCAGCCAGAAGAGCTAGAGACAGAACCTTATATCTCCCTCGACACCCACAGCGGTAAAAGAGGAAGTGAAGAAGAAGAAGAAGATTCAAACATCAACAAATATGTAATCCCTAAGGGATATAAATTTTCTTGTTTTTTTTATTAAAGGAATTACCACACACAAAAAAACAAGCTTGCAGGGCAACTAAGACATCACAACACTATGAGAAGGAACATATATGTTTGCAAAGGAAAAATTATTACATGTTCTACTCGACATAGCATGTTATGACCTAGAAGACTGCTGGAATTAGATAAAATCAAAGGAATTCGTTTTAAAATCGTTTCTCGACGAGACAAGAATCTTACATTGTTAATGTCTTAATTCAATGCCATATCTCTACTATAAACAGATTATCACACCGCTTGCCTTCTGACAATTTCAACTAATTGGTTAATGAACTACTTCTTCACATTCACTGGCTGTAAATTCCAGACAAATGTTCTGATCATTCACCCACTTCTAGACTTTAGTCCATTAGAGAACCTGAGTTCTGCATGCACATCCATTAAACAGATCTGACTTATCTGTATGCAGATCACTGGTTCTTTACTTCTCAGGCAGATGTACTATAACTTTAAAGGATAACAATAAATAGTCAACACCCACAACATGCATGTTGGGGAGCCAGTGAGTCTATTCTTATTTTCCCCACAGTGGGGGCCCGAGAAACTACACAGGGAGAAACTGTTGATAAAATGACAAAAGCACAACAATATGCAAGCAATAAATCAGTTACAAACTAAATTTAACACTACCTGTATTTTCTGTCCATTCTCAAATGAATTTTCATTATCATCTTTATTAAATGCTCTGTAAACCTTTGTTCCACCTCTTGGGAAGTCTTCTTCTGCTTTCCACATGTCTAATGAAAAGTTAGGTCACCTGAAATAGAAATTTCAGCATTTAAGTCGCACAATAAAATTTACAACAGTGAAATTCATAGTCTGTTTAAATCACTGATCACTGGCATCATGAGAACTAATAGACTGAAATGGTTGGGACATACTAAAAGAATGTCAGATGACAGAGAAGTAAAAACTGTATACACGAGGGAGATGAATGGCTGTAGACCACGAGGGAGACCAAGAAGACGATGGAGAGATAATAATCAGACAGACATGCAAACACTTGGTGACACCAACTGGAAAAAGGAGGCCAACCAGAGAAATGAATGGAGATGGGTGATATGAACCTCAAGGGCTCAGAATGCTGAAGAAGAAAAAGAAGAAATTTTACTAACATTGCTTATGAGCACAACATGCTGAAACCTACCCTTTACCCTGTTGGATGATTTCAGTCAATGAATTCAAAGCTAGACATGGGTATAAAAACCTTCAAAAATAATCAGCTGCCCTTTATATGAACCAAGAAGACTATCTCCAACAGTCATGGACACATTCTCACAAGATGGATCAGCAACCAGTGCGGTTCAAAATGGAGGTGCTGGCATCCTTATCACACACCACCACCACACAAAGTATAGACCCTTTGATAAATTATGTTCTAACTATACAGCAGTGAACCTAGCACTAGAGCAAGCTGCAGAAATGCTACACAACACCAGTTTTGACTGCACTGCCACCAGTGGTCATCTTCACAGATGCGCTATCAGTGATGAGCCCTCAAGAGTGGTAAAACTCCCTCAAGTGCGATCTGAACTAACTTAGCAACGTGCCAAAAGGTGTACTCTATTCCAGCTGGTGCCATCCCACACTGGTATACCAGGCAACAAAACTGCTGATATATTTTACTTAGTAAGAAATTGGCACAATATAACCAGGAAGAGAATTCAGTAACATACTTTGAGAAGAAAAGAGCCAACCAGTCTATCAGAATTTAACAGAATGTGACCAGAGATGACTACCACTTACATGACTTTTATGAGCAGGTCAATATTATATATGCCTCAGGACAGGACATGAACTAAACAAACATATGTACAGGCTTTATCTAGGTAGTTCACCACTGTGCCCATGTGGGATGTGTGTGAAGACTACAGAACATGTCCTGCAAGAATATCCTTTGTACAGCCCATTAGGAAGAGAAAACTGGCCCAATAGGTCAACGCTGCACTCACAGGTTGTATGGGAGGAAAAGGGAACTGCTAAAAACAGTCAAGTTTATCAGTTTATCATAAGAAATTGTCTGACAGCGTAAAAAGGAAAAAAACTAACACTCAAAATAAATGTCATAGTAATAGTTCTCTACGTGCTTGTTTTAAAAGTTGAGTTTTTCTTTTGAAGATGTCATGCTGCAAACCAACCTAGAAATTCATTGGCTGTTTGTGGTTTTTTACAGGGCAATTTTAATTTAAGATGTTGCCATTGCATTGCTTTTTTAAATGGTCGGCTATCAACAGTGATAGAATAGAAATCAACCAGGTATCTTGCAATTACAAACCATGTCCGCACGCCTCAAACTACAGACTTGCTTGTTGACCTCTTTCTCTATTCTATATCACATTATTTCATTTTCAGGCAGATTCAGTTGATACCTCTATTAGGTAAGTTGCATATCCTTTTACAGGACGTTGCAGATCAGAAAATGTATTTATTTTTCTTCATGTTTTATTATATATATTGTATCAGTATTCATACTGCTAGTGTTATATTAACGGTTATTATAATAATCATTGTTATTATGATAGTTATTAATAAATTATGTGTTTAATATATAGCGTTTAACTGTGATGGTTTCATAACTAAAACTCAATAATAATATAATATTAAGGCTCTCCTCTGAATAATGGTCCCAAATGATCTACGCAGAAAGTAAATTCTAACAGAGCCTCGTTACATCCTACTCTACAAAGATTTAAAAGTTGTAGCTCGGAAAATATAAGGAACGAAAAAGTATAAGGGCGAAGTCCACTACTTACCGACATTTAAATCCTTTATAAGTGAAAATTGTGGCACAGAAGTTGCAAACAGTGCCCAAATATTTGTTCTTTCTAGTTTCTGGCTGTCCACCATTTCAACAGGGCGTGGCTTGTCCGTGATTCTCGTTCCGGGCGAGACAATCAATAATGCGCGTTTTAATGTACATGCATGTCGCCTCGGGACAACTTCAAACCAGCAGCCGGCACTATGGCGCTCCACTATTCTGACCACCCCTTGACCGTGGCGAATGCGACCACGCTGGCAGTTGCGACGGAAGAAGTAGCTCATGACTGTTTTCTTGCGACTATAGTGCCACCTCTGAGAGTATCCCCCGCACCGCTACGCTCAGAAGGAGCTAAAATAGATGGCTAGGACTCACAAGCAAATACAATGAATGGAGGAAGCTGCAGGAGAAGCGGTAGCTGCTGCTCATGAGTCCCAGGCCATCTAGTTTAGCCCCTTCCGCGGCGTGCGTAGCTGCGCGGGGATACTTTAGGAGGTGGCACTATCTATAGTCAACGTCCGCAACTTACATATAACTGTGGCCCTGCCGTCGGACAGCGCTTTCGGGAGTATACTTGCGTGTCGCTAAATTTTCGTCCGTAGTTATTCCTAGTTTTGCCGCAGTTTAATAGTCGTAAAAAAGTCCGTTGCGTTTCGCGAAAATGTCGTGCGCAATTAATCCTACTTTTGAGGCGGTTGATTCGCCGCAAAAGAAAGGCAAATTTTAAATATGAGTGAGGCTCTGTTAGGGTTTACTTTCTGCGTAGATCATTTTGGACCGTTATTCGGAGGAGAGCCTAATAATATAAATATAAAACTTCATTAGCTCACTAGCTTAGCTTAAAAACTAAAAACATAATCTAATTACTTGTTAATAACACATACCTCCTGATGATACTATGAGCCGAATATATTTCAGGAATCAATAATTTACTAGAATGTAAACAATATCAATAACTAACACACACGATGGTTCCTCTAAATCTAATCCACTCGTGGTTATTTCTTTAGTTTGTTAATAAGGGGGCTGCCATATTTCAGTCCCGCAGCGACTATGCCAGGACAGTGTTGCCACTCGAAGACAAAACTTTATAATAATAGGTAGCTAAAATAATTATAATAGCTAGAACTAATCACTGAATTTTCATAAAGATAATTTTTTTGACATGTAAAAGAAGATGCTAAGTATGAGCCAGATATCAACATTAGACTTATGATGGTGCAAAGATTGTTCAATAAAATATGTATTTCGCAATGTCAACCTCACTCCGTCATATCTCGCTGGACATTTCCATGTATCCTAGCCTATTTACACAATATTCAGTAAGAATGTGGAGGGAAGCCTTCGGACGGAGAAGGGTGAATAAATCATGTTTAGGTGCGTAGAAAAATAATATAAATAGTAATAATAATCGTCTAGGTTCCGATGCCATTTGGAGGAGGGAAAGACCACTAACAGGGCCCCTCACAGCCTAAATAAACCGCAACACAGAATGCTGACCGAAAGAAGAAGAGGAAGAAGTTAACTTATCTTTTGGTTCATTTCCTGGAAAGAAAGAATTAAAAATAAAATATAATATAAATTATTAAGAACATCCTTGGCGTGAATGTTCACGAGGCGTTGAGTTTGCAAGCTTGTGATGCCATGTCTTTGTGAGATGGGTCGGCTGCCCTCATGACAGTTCTTTTTCTCCAATTCGGAGCAAGGTCTTCTAACGATTTTTTACGACTGCCGTATGTCATTTCCTATTAACTGACATTTACAACATGCCACAATGCGCCAGCTATGTTTAGCCATTTTCTTTTATAGAGCTATATTGGCAATGGCAATCCATGTGTGGGATTGGGGGGGGGGGGGTTATTATTAATATAAGTAGCCATCAAGTTCCAAATATATTATTAATAATATTATTACCTAATTTAATTGTTTAACACAAATTATGGGCATATGTTGCAAACGTAAATCGTCAAAATTAATTTCTACCAGAACATACACACATGGTGATTGTTGCTGCCAATAGGCAGTAAGCAGTGTTGCCACTTTGGATCTTTTGTATCCAAATTTAGATCTTTTTCACTGCGTTTAGATCCTGTTTTTGACTTTTAGATACTAAATATTTTTCTAGATTCTTTTCATATGGAGTTAGATATTTTATAGATTTTTTTTCTTTTAGTGTCATTTTAATAATTATTGAGTAAAATATTTACTAAAATATTTTTGTTTTGGTCTGGCACGTACATTGTGGCAACTGCCATTACTTAAACTTTGAACTCTCACTAAGGTCAACACTCAAATATCTGACAACCCCGGTGCTGATTAATCGAAATCGCGCGTAAATCATACTAACTTTGTTTCAACCGTATCCTCACTGTGTTGTGAAGTATAGCTGTGATGCTGACTCTGTGTTTCTTTTTCATGTGATTTTTTAAAAAATAATTGCTCACCTTCTTGTGTGGCTTTCACTTTGAAAAAACCTTTCAACATGCCAAAAGTAAAGTATGAGCAAAAATTTCGGAAAGAGTATTTGCATGATGACAAAATTAAAGACTGGGTGATGGCAGTTCCTGGGGATATAACCAAGGCTCGTTGTAAGTACTGCAAGTGTGCAATTAAAGCGAAAATACAAGACTTAAAGAAGCATGCAGAGACTAACAAGCATAAAACTGCAGTTCCATTCAAAGATATTACACCGCTGACATCTGTTTTCAGAACTACACTGATAAATGAATCATCAAAAGTTGAAGGGTCGGTCGCAATGTTTTTAAGTTGCCATTGTGCAATTTCAAACTGTGACCATTTGATTGATTTGTTTAAAAACACAATTTCTGACAGTAAAGTTATGGATGATGTGAAAATGCATCGCAGCAAGTGTACACATATTATAAGAAATACTTTATTTTCTCACTTCGAAAAAGATTTGATCAGTGATATTTCTACAAATAAATATAGTTTATTATTAGACGAATCCAATGATATTTCGGTACTGAAAGTGCTTGGTGTGTGTATTATATATTACAGCAACAATACAGACAAAGTAGTTTCTACATATCTTGGACTAGTTCAATTGGAAAAGTGTGATGCAGAAAGTATAGTTCAAGAACTGAAGAACCTTTTAATCAGCAAACAGTTAGACTTGACAAATTTGGTTGCAATTGGTACCGATAATGCCTCAGTGATGGTTGGCATAAACAATGGCGTTTATGCCAAGTTGAAGGAAGCTATCCCATCGTTAATACTTATAAAATGTATGTGTCATTCATTGCAGCTAGCATTATCACATGCTTCATCTGAATGTTTACCAAGGAATTTGGAATACCTTATTGCTGAAACACATAACTGGTTTTCAAAATCATTTGTCAGACAACAGCAATACAATGCATTGTATTCAGCCTTAAATAATGGTTCCACACCACTGAAAATTCTGTCAGATTGCAAAACCAGGTGATTATCAATACAACCAGCTGTTGAAAGAATTGTGAACTAATGGTTGGAGTTAAAGACACACTTTGAAATAACAAGACAAAGTGAAAAGTGCTACACAGCTGAGATACTATATGGAATGTACAGTGATGAAAAAAATTTGGCATTCCTTCTCTTTTTTACAACCTATTCTAATGGAAGTGCAAAAAGTTAATAAACTGTTCGAATCCAAACATGTTGATAAAGTTAAATTACTTGACGATCTCACTTTGCTATTTTACTCAGTTGGTAAAAGACTGGTGTTGCCAACTTCAAAAGTTGATTTGCTCACTTGCACTATAGAGAGCTATTTGGCTCCTAAGCCATACCTTGGATATCAAATTGAATCAAAAATTGATGATTTAAAAACAAAAGGACTGTTAACAGAGAATGAAGAGAACAACTTAAGAAAACGCTGTCAAGATTTCCTTATCTCATTGTTCAAGCAACTAAAGCAGAGACTTCCTGAAAATCTAGATGTTTTGAAAAATATTTCACTCTTTTCTGTGAGCAACATACTTCAGCCAGTAAAGGACATACCTAAATATTGTAAAGTTATGAAATTTTTAGGGGCTACTGACAATAGTGTCGCGGGAGCAGAATATCAGTTAACCAAAATAAACTTAGTTGAATGGACAAACAAAACAGAAACTGAAGCGTTTTGGAGTGAAGTGAGACAATTTAAAGATGCCTCATCAAACAGTCCATTCTGTAAACTCTTTGAATGTGCCATGTCTGCCATGATACTACCCCACTCAAATGCTGACGTAGAAAGAGTTTTCAGTGCTATGAATTACATCAAATCTAACCTAAGAAACAGGATGAAATTAGACCTCTTAAATGCTATCTTGACAATAAAGTTTGGCCTGATGAGAGTAGGAAAATGCTGTTCCACTTATCAGCTCCCTGATTGTGTATTAAAAGAAATAGGAACAGCTAAAGCATACCAGAGTAATTTGGGATCTGAAGCTTCAACTTCATCATCCAAGCTAAGTTTATCCTGTGGATCTTGTGAAGCAGACATCAGTGAAGATGAGGACATGTGTCTATAGGGTAAGTCATTTCAATAGTTTTGTAATTTGTGACTCTTTTCATTTGGATATTTTTTTTAAATATTTTCCACGCAAATTTAGATCTTTTTAGATATTTTTTTTACCCTGTTTTGGATCTTTTTTGTCAAAGAAAAGTGGCAACACTGGCAGTAAGTCTGTCTTTCTTCCGGCGACAATTCAGAAAGTATCTGAGTCAAATAGAATATCTGCAAGATCAACTTGAGAAGGTCAGTAGGGTCGACTAATATTTTCTCTCTAAAACTGTAGTTTTTCCTAATATATTTAACGTTATATACTTACAATATTTCTCAGCATTCGGTTATTTATGTTTGTTGTTTCATTCGGCTCTTGCAAATGCCCAAGATTATTGATTGACTAGACAGGATCATGAGGCAGAATTACTCTGTTCAGACAATGACAATGTCTGACATGAAAATAAAAATATACGAATTTTTCAAAAGTTGAGACGCAGTTACGCTGTATTTAGAGACTTTAGAGCTTGAAAAAATCCTAGATGCTTCAGTGATTCATCACTAAGTAAGTGAAGTCAAGAAATTATTAATAATTGAATTAATTTAATTCTTCTTGGTTTAATTTGATTTATGAATAATCATAATTATACATATTTTGTTTTCAAACTGCATACAGCTGGGATCAAATCAAACCTGCCACCTCAGAATTACAAACTTTGTAACAAAGTGAATTCATTTGTTGCAATTCATTGGCACATTTCTGTCTTTCCAGATGATAGTGTTATATTGCACTGGCACTATGAGAAGACATGGGACTCGCAGCCCATGGCGATCGCGAGTGTTGCTGCCCACTTTGAGAAATGTCTTCCACAATTATAGCATAGGATTTCAGCACATTTGTTGTCAACATGTATGTTTAGTCTGTTTCTTCTCAGACGCTGAGCTCTTATCCTTTCTGCAATCATTTCTTCCCTCCTTCTCATTCCCTTACTTATGTGCCCCTCCACACAACACGATCCATGGTATTTTGTTCTCATGAGGCCCCTTCAATACATGTATCAGCTATCCTCTGAATAACAATCCAAAATTATCGAGGCCCTGTTAAGAGACATCTTCGGCCTCGATAATATGGAACCATTTTTCGGAGGATAGCCCATGTATCATTTATGTCCCACTTGCGCACATCTTTTTATCGTAGTAAAGGTCGGTCTCAACATTTTCTACCCATCTTTAATTCACCTTAGAGGATGTCCTTAGGAACTCTGCCATCCTCCATTCTACAGGTGTGACCCAGTCACCTGAGCCTTTGTAGACTAAGCACTGAGAAAACTGTTGTAATACCTGCTCTTTCCAAAACCTCAGTGTTTCTGATCTTGTACCGTTACCTAATGCCAAGTATTCTTCTTAGGCATCGCATGAGAAAGCTATTTAGCCATTTCTCCTGGTGCGAATAAGGTTCATCCTCTCCATGGCACTAAGCCTTTGCAGTATTGTAAGATAATATGTTGCCCTCGCATCATGATTATAATTACAATAGTTTTTAGTTAAATTGGGCATACTGTATGCAAAATCTGACAACAGATATTTTATTGAGCAGCCCAAGTCCAAATTAATTATTATAATTATAATGTAACAACTTCCTGTGTCTTCTCTCCCCCCCCCCCCCCCCCCCCACCCTTCCCCGAGACAAATATACCTTGTAAATAGTCTGAATTTGTGACTTAAAATATCTCCCATTCTAACAAGACCTTCGATACTTAATCTGGCTTCTGGCGTGCTCTCTAGCACAGACAAATGCTGCTTATTAAATTTTTTTAAGTTCAGAATGCTTTACAAATGGACATTCTGTCTTATTAATCCCCCTTGTATTTTTCAGGCTGTTTTTCTGAAACCCCAACATGGCTGGTGACTTTGTTCCAGAATCTGAGCTCAACTTGAAGGGCTGGCAGAAATATTTCAATAGCTACACACTTAGAGGAAGATTCAATGTAAGATTTACACAGAAATCTACAATCTTTCTTTATCCTTTTTATTGTCTATTTCTCTCTTTGTCTTAATCCCCTACCTCTGTCATTCTCTATCTCCTCTCCTCAGTAATTCTCTCTCTGTACCTATCTGTTAATCTATCAATCTTGTCTTTCTTCTCTTCTTTCTTTCCAGCTTTTTCCTAACTTGCTATTGTCTATTTTCCTTCTGTTTTCTTTCTCTCTCATTGCTTGCAGTCTCAAAGAAAATATGTTAATTCTTAATTCTTATTATTGGGATTTCATAACTAGTTTTGTGTGGGTAGAGAGGGGGGTACAAGCAAAAAGAGTAAAAATGTACCTAGTATTCTTAGTGTGTACAATTAGGCAGACAGAAAAGTCTGTTTTACTACATGCTAAAAAGTTTATGTGGTTTATATAGCTGTTGATCAATAATTTATGTATGGCTGTTAAGTGATTGAAAGAAAACAAGGCAGAAGGTTGTAGACAGACATGACTACCTATGCCTTCTGAATAGACTTTAAGAAGAAAAGAAGATTAATTATTGTTGAAAATATTTGGAAGTAATGAATATTATGAAAAACAATTATTAATTGGATACCATACGAATTTGGTATAGGCTCATGCCTCATTAACATACAGAAGGGTGGAAACATCTGTCAATCATTGCTGATTATCCATAATAGTGGCTAGTATAATTAATTACAGCATAAAAAGATAAATGATACTTTTAATCAGAGACACCATCATGTGTGAAAGTGTTAAAAATAAAATGCCTGTATGTTTCACTAAATATACTAGCTGAACTTTTTTAATTTTAAGAGTAGACGTACTTTTTCAGTGTTGCAACAACTCTGACTGCGGTGTTTGTGATCTTTAAACTGAAAAGTGTATTTATAATACAGATACAATTTTGGGAATGTGTTGCACACAGCAGGATTTATATTTGCATCCTTTTTTTTTTTTTTTAATTAAATAGAAGATCTAATTTCAGCTGTAAAAGTTATTTCTAATCATAGACTTATTGTAAACAACAAACCCTTATTTGCCAACCATTGCATTTCTATTGTTTATGGTTTCAGATTGTAGCAGCAACATATGGCTCTCTATTTGCTTCTGTCATCCTGTACAAGATATTCAAGAGGAAACCCAAAGCTGTAGCAGCAGCTAAATGAGATTTATGTTAAGACTCATCATTTATGTGATGTCGTTTAGGGTTAAAAAGATGTATGTACACATGGTAAATGAATAGGAATAGAGAACTATCTTTGATGTGTCCGATTTTATATTTGCCAAGACATTATGGTCAGTTTAATGTTCTATACCTCTTGGTTTGGTGCAAATTCAGTGTCTGATTTTGGCTTCCTGAAATTGTTTTTGTTATAAAGGTAATTATGTCATTGCAAACATCTGCACAGAGGACAAACGACAAGTGACAAATAGGATATCTTACCTGCTATCAGCACCAAACATGGGTGTTGCCACAGTAGCAAAAAAGGATACATGTGAAACAAAATATGTTACGAGCATTATTAGAGGGGACGCAGACAGATTCTGTATAAACTATAATGTTTTTACCATTCTTGACTTAATGTCTATAATAATTTACCATTTATACATAGATTGCAAATTTTAAAAAATGTATGTTCCTGATTTTGTTAAAATCTGATCTTAGTACTTTAGATGCTTTTAATTGGCTAGACTGTTGAGACCTTGTCGTAATCATTTTAAAATACTGGACACTTCAAACAAGAACATTAATTGCAATTGTATATTAGTGTGAACATGTGTACTCACTTGTCAGTTGCTTGTGTACAATATACACCTTAGTTTAATCAACAGACACTGTCGGCGAAATATAGAGTGTATATTAAAGTTTAAGTACAGTGACACACATTTTTGTTAATATATACTTCACTTGTGCATGGCAGTGTTTTGTGCTTGTAGAATATGTGTTGATGCTCCTGCTACCTTAGATTGAGACATATGTTTATCTTGTTTACCTGTTTGAGACTTTTTATTCTTTAAGTTCTTCCTCTTTTGTTAACTCTGGCAGAAAATTCTGGTTGTGTGTCCACTTTTGGACTATATTGCACTTGAATTTTGCTCGCAGATCTATTTTACCGATCTGGCACACTTGTATGCAGACTGTCGGTTCCTCGCCTCTCAGACAGGTGCACTGTGACTTTGTAGGGGAAAATCCCAGTTTAGTTGCCTTATACAAAATGTTTGATATAGTGGTAGGAGGGCTACCCCCCACACCCCAGTTGAAAAGTGGGCCCTGAACCCACTTGAAGAATCCTATTATTTTAAAATAAGCTTATCCGTCAGACTTGTGGTTTTTTTACTATTATTTACAATAGTGAAACTTAGTCGCCTTATTCTTACCAGGAGAGACAGCTTAATATCTGGTAATCTTAGTTTTAGCTTCATAGCAAACGGGTCACCCTGTGGTTGCTCTGCTCCTGTGCCAACTAAAGACACACAGAATGTTTATCACAGTCCCTTGTGGAAAGATTCACAGACTGCTGTGTCAGCATATGCACTAGCATACACGCGCATTAAAAGCATACGGTAGCCATCCAAAGTGCTAACACAAACAGTCCGACGTTAGAAATGCAGTTCATCATGGATGGTTGCAGAAGTCACCAACAGATCAGCAGTTGCACATGCAATAAATTTTAATCACAAAATGGCACTACCAATATTGCAACAACAGGCCATTTTCTGAATCTACAATTCACACCACCACGTTGGTCACAGTAGAAAAGCATTCCAAATAAAATCAGCTCACAGTGTCACTCCATGCACTCAACTCACAAACTATCTTTTCAGTCTACAAATGGAAAAAAATGCATAGGCCACCATCTGGCAGAAGCAGAACATTTTGCCGCGGCTCACAACAATGAGTTAGATTATCTTCACAGCACTCCTGACACATCCATAGGCGCTCAAATTCCCCTCTCGGCATATTCATCAGTGTCGTGCGGTTAATAGTACCAGTCCTATGTTGGTTAACAAGACTTTGTGTGCGTCCAGTGTGCTTCTCATGCTTGGCTGTGCCGATCTCACAACAATAACTGCCTAGCGTCCATTTTGACCAGACTTATTTAGGGTTTATTAACAATCACCCCAGTGGTGCCCTCATGCTGGGAAAGGGGCGTAACGCCCATCAGCAAGATGTCGCTCCTGTACGGCCAGACTGCCTTCGTTAACGATTGTGCACCCCACAACCATGCAGTTCTTTGGCACGAAGGAGACACCTTAAATTTGGGTTCTGGACTACTGACTCTCTACCTACTCACACGCATGTGTTAATGGTGTACAAAAGTTATCATGCTTCTCGCTTGTACCATTAGCCTTATGTTCCAGCATACATTTATAAATAAAATACTATTGTCATGCATATATACACACATTTAAACATACTAGTAATAGTTGTGACAACAATTAACAGTTCGCAAGCACTCACACAAAGTAGAGAGGTACATGTAGGAGGAAAGATCACTAAATGGCTGATTCCTCCAGGAGGAAAATGTTTATCGATGCTTCTGTACAGTAATCCGCAAGTATTTGGTGTATCACATCAAAGGGTCAATGTTTTTATCTTGAGGCTCCGAATAGATGCCTTCTCGTAGAGAAAATGTCTTTCGACCAAAAAGCCTCCAGACAACCCCAAAAGCTACCGCCTGATATCCTTAACATCATGCTTGGGCAAAGTTGCAGAAAGAATGATAAACAGGCGCTTGTATTGGTTCCTAGAGAGTTCTGGTGTTCTATGCCATAAACAGGCAGGCTTCAGAACCAACAGCTGTGCAGTAGGCTAGCTGTTCAGACTGACACAAAGAATACATGATGGCTTCTAGAATTAGAAACACACAGTGGCCGTCTTTGTCAACCTCCAGCAGCCTAGACAAACACCAAGTGATGAAAGAAGAGCATCCTACATACCTTGGAGTCAAACTTGACCGGCAGCTCAGGCTCAAGAACCATATTGAAAACGTAAGGAATAAGGCATTGAGGCGGTGACAGTTATTAAAGAGACTTGCAGGTACATCATGGGGATCAGACAAGGAAACTTGTAGGGGCTTATATCTTAGATATGTTCGCTCTATGATAGAGTTCAACAACTCACTGCTTACAACCTGTTCCAAAACTAACCTAGAGACTCTTGACAGAGTACAACCTAATGCCCTCCGATTAACCTGCTTAGCTATGCAGTCTGCTTCAACTGCTACACGTAAAATCCACACAAATGTGGAACCCATCGGGTGGCGGAGAGAAAAAGCCACTTTAGAAATTTATGAAAGATGTGTAAGAATGAATCGTAACCATCCAAATAGACACCTTGTTGAAAATTGGGAATACAAAGTATAAAGCACAAATCGGTTTTACATTGTGTTAATGAAATTCAGGACAGATACCACCTCCCAGAAAGACGTCAAGGAATTCAGAATGTTGCGAGAAACCTACCACCACATGCTCGCTTCAAAGCTCCAGAAGTCCGAATTAAATTGATAGGCGAGGAAACCAAACAGTCCGACCCAATCGCTCTTATGAACTCATCACTAAAGACCGTTGATTCTTACCCCCAAGAATGAATACATGTTTATACTGATGGATCAGCATTTAAAGCTACCATTAGAGCAGGTTAAGGAATACTACATAGGTTGTCCTGATAGATCTGTTGAAGAGATTTGTGATGCATGCGGGGAATTCAGCTCAAATTATGAAGCCGAAATAATTGCACTGGCAACAGCAGTAAACCACCTAAAGACTGCAATGGAAGTTTACTCCTCAAAGGCCCAAAATATTGTCATCTTGACATATTCAATGTCTGCCCTTTAAGCTCTGGAGTGCAGTGAACGCTGCAGAACTGACATAGCCCAGATAATCCTGTATGTGGATCAGCTTATTACCACATACAACATCAGAACAGTGATTCAGTGGATTCCAAGCCACTCCGGCACACCAGGTAATGACAGACTGGCAAAGAAAGGAGCAACACAAGAGCAACCATCTACAGCGACAACCCTACAGACAGCAAAAACACTTATACGATCTATAAACAAAGAGACTTAGTTGAACAGATGCACCATGGGAGACACTGGAAGAGAGGTTTATAGACATATGGCTGGCCCTGATTCTAATGACAGCATTAATCATCTAACAACAAGGGACTAGGCAACCATCTTCAGACTTAGAACACAACATACTTCACTCAGTGAACATATAAACAGAATACAGCCACAGCACTCTCCAGAGTGTCAGCTATATAACTACCCATACGAAACTGTTTAACACATCTCTTTGTGCCCAAAACTCAGCGAGACTAGAAGAATGCTACTCCCTCCGAGACCAGACAAGTGGAACACCTTGTACGGAGGAAAAGAACAGCTTGTGAAAACATGCAAATTCCACTACATGGCATTGGGCCAAAGGGCGAAAGCTCATGCTCTGCTGGATCGATAACAACAACAAGTTTCATGCTTCAGGTATAAATCGTGTAGCTGACTGTGACGTCGCGCGACCTCGAATCCTCTTCATATTACTACCGTTTACTGTCCCTAGCTGATTGTCACGGGGTAGGACCGTGTGGGATTTGAATGGGTGTCGAGACAGCTTAATAGCTTCTATATGTAATGCCTACGAAGAATACCTGGAATTAACATGCAAGACAAGATCACAAACACTGAGGTATCGGATCACAACAGTTATCTCAGTGTTCAGTCTTCACCGGCTCAGATGGCTAGGATACTTGGTAGAATCCCTAAGGACATCCTCTGGTGAATCACAGATGGATAGAAAATTGATTTTCCTTGCCCACGCGGCAGGCCTTCAAATGTTAGATGTATGTATGTATGTATGTAGAACACAAGAGAGAGTGAATTATGGGACAGACTGGTGAATATGGGACGCAATGCTACAGGACAGATGGATAAATGGTGTTGCTGAAACCTGCAAAACAATGAACAAATCCATCATTCGAGACGCACAAGACAAGTACAGAAAACTACAACCTGGTGTCGAGAAGATGAAGACGTAGAAGTCAGCTCTGCTATGTTGTAAAGATGTGGGATGTGAATATTACAGGTACTGGGATGGATTTTTGAGAACATCCATCTGTGCTAAATAATTCTTGGCCCACATGGGTCCCTGTCACACACAGACAAAA